TATAAATTTAGATTTTGATTGCGCTTTCTTTCAGGGCGATGAAATCTGTAGAATACCTGCCTACCTAGCAACACATGTTCTGAATAACCAATTTACACCTATAGGGTATTAATATTACCATATATATATACACTTTATAAACTTACAATAATGGTACAGATATATAAACATTTACTGAACTACAATATGAAGAACCATTTGAGATTTTATGGGCTGATTAATAATGATGCGACACTTTCGAGTGAACGCGCCTAATCATTGCATAAATCTTGATTAAATACTTGATTACGATATTTGATATGAACTTTTTTCATAAATGTGATAAACAAATAAAGTTTGACTCGCCTGTCAACCAGTTTTTAGCTTTTTATGAGCGATGATATCCGAGCTAAAATAGTTTATAATCACTTAAAATTTAAATAACAATTTCTTTTAGCAGACATCATGTCTGCAAAGGTTCTTTATACAATAACAATGTTGTTGTTTTTAATATCTGAAGACATTTTTTATTTGCTGACCATATCAACTATTGACATATTGAGTAAAGTTTACAAAGACTTAGTTCGTATTAAGTATTGTGCCTAGGGGGCTTTTATAAGATAAACAATGTTTGGCACACTTTAATCAGTTTTAACTGTATCTGCTGCACATTTTCCATTCCTCAACAGTTTTCTTATCTAATAAGCGAATATCAAATCACGTTCAGTACGATAAAAGTTATAAATCTTGACAACCGGCCGCCAACTGGTCTAGAGTTTGGCTACACAAATTGTTTATGTACTTAGATTTTGAAATATCATTTAATGATGCCTATTTGAGTTATTTGTGCTATGACGCTCAGAGAACCTATTCTTCCACTTCAATTTGGCTGAGTTAAGCAAATGAATTTGTATAATTATCTTTAGCTTGATATATGTGTGCGTATGTATGTATATTTTATTTAACACGTTTGGAAAGCTTTTGGCAGAGATAATTAGTCAAATTTACAAGTATACTCTACACTTCTAGACACTACTTTATATACTCTATTCTCCTAGTTCATAATATCATACATTAACTAATCTGATACATCAAGTCCACATTGATTGACAAAAGTCAAAATAAAAACCTTTGTCAACAATATTTACCAGAGTTTATTCTAAAGAATTAATATATTGACAGTAATTAATGCATATTATCACCAATTAGATAAACTGTAACTCAAACAAGCCTCTGAAATAAATAATCCCAAATATTTGATGATAAACACTTTAACGTGCACGCTTATTACAAATTATTTTAAATGCATTTATTATCATCCTTAACAATTCCATTCGCATCTCTCTCTCTCTCGGTTGCTTTCCGTGGTTATATGAAATATTTGCGATGTCAACCACATCCGCATATGCATATCGATAGTCGTTCTCAATACAAATAAATTTCCATTTAAATATGATTTTAAGTGTGCGAAAATTCCAGCAAAATTCGTGAAATCAACTCAAATTGGGCTCTGTAAATAGAACTGAAATTGAATTAACCTCTGCATTTATTTAATTGGCTTTTCTCTAATCATTTCCATCAGCAACAAAATCAAAGCAAACCAAATTCACAAAAATCGAAAACTGGACACAAAAAGGTACCAATGCAAATGCTTGGATATTTGCTGATGACCTGCGGTCGCTGCAGGGGGCAGGGGGCAGTGGGTAGGGGCGGGGGGGGCAGGGGTCTCAGTGTTAGCCATAAATTAACTTTGACAAAATTACACACACATTGTGCACATTAAAACCCAAATCACGAAGCTAGTGAATGGCAAAGAAGCAATTTCAATTAAAGCTAATTACAACCAATATCGAATGCCAACAATGTCGGGCGTCAAACACGACGACGACGTCGACAACGTCCAGGATGGCGACGATGCCGCCAATGTGGACAGCGACAGCGATTTGGCAGCTCAGTCGGATGCGGCCTCAGCGGTTGTGGGTGGATGTCCGTCTGTGGCACAGTTACGGATGCGACTGGTTACACTGCGCCAAACACAGTACGGCGTTAATAGGCGCTAGTGAAGTGCGCTGCTCGTGTTTTCTATCGTGACACGAAAATTCAGCGATAAGTAAAATAAGAAAAATGGCCATAGCTTAGCTTCATTGAAACATGGTCACACTGTGATATGTTCAAGCTGAAATGCGTTCAAACTGAAGTGTGGTCCTACTACAACACGGATTAACTGTTAATATGCTATTCATCACACAATGATATATGTCTGCATTGAAACACGGTTAAACTGAACTATGATCAAGCTAAAATACTGCCATACTGAAGTATAGTCACACTCAAATGTGGATAAGCTACGATATTTTCGTACTAATGAATTGCATTGAAGCAGGGTCACACTGAAATACAGCTAAAGAGAAATGCGGTCTTACTGAAAGCGTCGCACGACAATACGGATAAACTAAGATGTTGGCATGCTATATAATCAAACACGGTCACAGTGAAATACAGCTAAATAGCAATACGGTCTTACTGAAAGTTATCCCAGCTAGTTTTTACCGTTATTAGCATACACGACACGCACCCATCTCTAATCGTAGATGCACCTACAATGTGCTCAAGGAGTCAACCCCATGGAAAGTTTATTGCCCGAAAAGGGTAATAAGTATCCAAAATCTTATCTTTTACAAATGTAGTCGTTAAGTAGCGAAACTTTGTCCAACGCTTAATATAAGTACAAGAAAAACCCCTCTCACCCCGATCCGTGTCAGCAGATAGTGTGCAACGCCAGGTGAGACTCTTGCGAGTAAAAGAGTAAAAAAATAAAAAAAAACTGTGCTCGCGGGCTCGAGTTACTGTCGTTGTCACCGGCTCAGCTAACGTCCGTGTCCACAACTGATTTTGTGGGCTGTTGTGGGAGGTTGCCGGCTGTGCCCCACTGTTGGGTGCAGCTGCCGTTGCCGTTGCCGTTGCCGTAGCCGTAACCGTTGCCGTTGACGCTTGCCACGGAATAATTAAAGCAAATTTGCACTTCAGACAGTATACCATGGAAAAACAACGCAACGCCGGCGACCCACAACAAGAACAGCTCGCCCAGGTACTCGACAAGAGCAGAAACACAACCACAGGCCGCATCCACATCCACATTCACATCCACATCCACATTCACATTCACATAGAAAGCCAGCAGCTAACGTCAACAAAGGGGGACGACGCACAGCAACGCCAGTCAGCCGGGAACTATGCGAAAAAAAACATATATATATATATATATATATATATGAATATATATAATATGGAGCAGAGCCAACAATGGCAGTGAGTGGCATAGACACGCCCAGGGGCGGACTTAACATCCAAGGTGTTGTCAGGCACACATTCCAAATGAAAAGGAATTAACAAAATAAATATAAATACAAGTGCGGGGTTAAATACCCTCTGTTGTTATTCCAATTAACTGATTAAATTTTAAACTGAACTTAACATTATTTTATCTCGCCTTCAAAGACTGATTCAATTTCAAATTGAATTAACCATTAGTTGTGCTTTAAATCAACAGTAATATGATTAGTTAAAATAAAGATTAACATTGTTCGTGGTTTTGATTAATAAGTATAATAAAATAGATCAAGTAGTCTAGAATTATATAAGCTAAGCATTATATAGCTAAAACTTTCGTTTTATGTTTAACAGTTCTTAATTTAAACCATTTTCAAAATTAAACTAATTTTTAGAATTTAAAAGCAATTTTAAACACAAATTTGGTCCGAAATCTTTTCTTTTGATGCACAGTTTTAAATACAAATGAATTGCTTTTGCATATTTCAAAAATAAAATTAAAATATTAATAAGCTGTGTTAAGTTTAATTACATTTTTGTGTGTTCAAAAGCCTTATTGTATTCTTATCAAACATATAAATCCAGTTTTTCAGTCATCTAGAAATGACTAGTCAGGTCCTTCTCCATAACTGTTAGCTCATTCTACATCTTTATAAGAATGGTCATGTATTTAACAGATTTTTAAAATGTACACGTATAACATTTTTACAGATATTGAAGCCTTTTGAAATTTATCTATGAAATATGTTATTAAATCTAATATCATCTTTTAAATACGTGTGCTTCTTTGAATAAGTTACATTAGAAACTTTTTACGAAAATTGTAGACTTTATTTCTTGGTAAAAGCATGTTCAAAATTTATATACTATAAATAATAAAAAAAATTAACTACAAAATGTATGGAACTAGCCAAAAACTAATGTTGAACACACTTTATTTTTATTTTAATTTCAATTTTATCGTGTTTAATGTTCTGGTAATGCCCCAAGGCATCAAATATTGGCGGCTGAGTCGTTCGTAATGCTCGCGGGCCTGGTAAACGAGAGAACACAAAACACGAAGTGAAACAGCGAGAAATCAGCAGCGACGACAACAACAGCAACGGAAGCGCAAGCGGGAGCGGGAGCACAATGTGGATGCTGAGCGCAACAAGGAGCCAAGTTCTGTATGGAAATGCCAGCGCAGCAACTGCAGCCACAATAACAACAACAACAGCGAATACAAGGCAAATGAGAACAACAGTGAATGGTAACAATAAACTGAGCTTGCGCCGAAATTTTGAAATGTGTTAAAGCGGCGCTGCTCTCGCTACGAAGCTGGGAGACAACAATGGCGAGATGGCAACATAAATTCACATACATACAAACGTACGAATACACACACACACACAGACACGCACCCAAACGCAAGCATCTAGTGACACAGTGAAAGCATCAGCACGAAGTCACAGTCGGTCGCTGGTCGCATTGAACGGTAAAAAGCGAACACCAGGACCAGCACCAGAGACAGTTTGTGTGTGTAACGATGTTTCAGCAAAGTTTTCAACTTGAAATTGAACTGTGCGAATTGAAAGAAGAAGCAGCTGGCACTCACACAAGAGACAGACAAATTGGAGAGCGCAGTTAGCTGTCATTGTTGTTGTTTCGGATGCTGTTGTTGTGGGAGCAAAAATATTTTAACGCAATTAGAGTCCGAAGCATGGTCGTCGCATCAGATCCAGAGCGAACGCGCACGCAGACGGACACGGCGCACGGATAAAAGCAAATAAAAAGTGTTACACACAGTACGCAGCGCACATTTCATAAAGCTTTTAACTCCCATAAACCCATTTTTGCAAAAACGTAGCATAACGTGCGCCTGCGAGTGAGTTAGTGAGTGAGTGAAATCGTAGTAGCTGCAAAAAGGTAGTAAGCGGCTCAATTAACTGGAAAAAACAGCTGCAGCATCAGCATGAACAAAGTGTGAGCTGTGAAGAGATAGAGAGAGAGAGAAAGACAGAGAAAGTCGAGCGCAAACAATTTGTTGAATACTGCTGCCTTCGCACAAGAAACCGAAAGAAAGCAAAAGTGAAGAAAATTACACACAAACACGAACACACACATTTATATGTTCTATGCGTGTATTTGTGTAACTACTTCATACACAAATGCAAATACAAAATATTAATATACATACGCACGTAGCGAAGCAAAAAAAAAGTGTTGCCAACTAGCGTTGAGTGGAAAAAAACCACAGGAAAGCAGCAAGCACAGCAACATTGGCGGCGAAAAAGTTAAAAAGGACAAAGACGATTAAGCAGCTTTGCTGCTGGCGGCGGCAGCGGGAGCTGAGGCACGAGCACCAGCGGGAAAGGTGAGCGCAAAATAAGTCATGCAAAAAAGCAACAACTCAAGCCAGGCGGGTGAGGCTGGTGTCGATGTCGGTGTCGGGGGCACAGGCAGTGTCAAGAAAAACGCCCCGAAACAGATTTCTTCTTTTTTTTTTTTCTTCTTGAAAAGTGACAGTCGTCGCCTCAGCAAACGACTAAAGAGGCGGCAGCGGCAGCGGCTGAGGCAGCGCAGTGGCTGGTTTCAGCGCGCGCCTTCGTATTCGTTTTTCGTATTGTGGGTGTCGTGCGTGCTCGTGAGCCACGCACGAAGACGGCCGCCTTTGGCTCTCCCACTCAAATGTTGTTGTTGTGTTTTTATTGTTGTTGTTCTTGTTGTTGCAAACACACTTCAAACTGGCGAAACCAAAGCGAAAGAGCAACCTGCAAGCCTAAAACAACAACCGCAACAACAACAATTACGTTGATGTCAGCAGCAATGGCGGCGGCGGCGACGGCAACGGTGATAACTCATGTCCTACTGACATTTTTGGGTCAAAAACTAAAATATTATGTGTGCTTCCTCTGCTACCCCCCCCTCCCTTCACCATCCGCTCAAAGCTCCACACTACCCCACTGTATTGCTAAGCTATAGCTGTGTTAGTATTTGTATTTGTATTTGTGGCTTGGCAGTCAATATTTTATGCGTCTGCTCCGTCTGTTGCTCTCCTTCTCTCTCTCTCTTTGTTTCTGTCACATTCCGACAGATTAAAATTGCATCCGGTCGTGTTTTGGCTTCGCTTTTAACATACAAAATTACCACGCACAGCGAGGAAAGGTTCTAAAAGGGCGCTACAACAACAACAGCAGCAGCAGCAGCAATGAAAGCGGCGAAAACAAACAAAATGGCGGGGAGCAAAAAAAAACAGCAGCAAAAAAACAGAAAACAAAAATGAATTCAGAGCAAAAGTCTTAATTGAAATTTTTGCTTGAAATATGTACAGTGTGATTTTTACACAGTGCTGTGTTCGGTGCCACCTAAAAATGGAAAGCAAGGCCATGAAGTCGAAATGCCAGCGACACGTTACACATGTGTGTGTGTGTGTGTGTGTGAGTGTGTGCTTGTGTGCGTTTTAGCGTATCTTTGCCAGCGGCAACTTTTGTTTGCCACTCATGCCAAAAGTCGTTGGGAGAGGGTAGCCGCTAGCCCCTACCCCTCCCCCCTCTCTCACACACACACAGGACACAATCTTGAATGACTTTTTTTGTTGTCTTTGTATTTGTAACAACATTTTTTAGCTTGGCGTGCAAATTGCTGCTGCTGAGCTGTTGTTTGGCTGCTGAGGCATCTCTTTGTATCCTGTGTTACGGTACAAAGGTAATCAACGCTAAGCCAAATAGCCAAAAGCTGAATATGCGATGAGGAGCAATTACAGCGCCTTTTCCAAATATGCCAAACAATTTTTCGAATTTGTTATCTGATTTTGCTTACGTGCGACATCAAAAATTTATAGCTCTGGTTGTTCGAAAATTAGTAACAGATTAAGGTAAACTTAAATAACGATAATAATAATAATAAGCTTTTAAAGGTATTAGGCGCATAGAACACAAAAATCTATTTGAAGCCGTTTTTTCTTAGAAATGATTCAAATTTTAGAGAATAAAATATATAGTATATCTATAAATTAGTTATTTAATATTCAGATATTAACACTTCTTGCGATTAGTGTATTTTTCGAATCTATGGTATATTACTCATACGTCTAGTTGGCAACGCACAAACTCTTGTCGTACAACGTGAGTAACGGCTTAAGCTGACTCAAGATTGATGTTAACTGGTCACCCTAATCAATTGTCTTGTCAACCAATTTGTTGCTACTGCTTCAAAAATGAAACTACATTTTTATTGCATACTTTTTTGAGCTGTTTTTTGTATTAGCTTAAGTAGGAGAGTGCGCGACTCTAAGGGACTGCATGGAAGAAAAAACCTTAATTCATTATGAATTATCTTGTTGTGAAGCGTCACTAAGTTACGGAAAATGTTAAAGTTCTTCATGATACAGGCAGATTGTATCAGAATGGTCGCTTGGAAATTAAAGCATCTAGAAATTTATAAATTTACAGCCTTTGGCTGAGGCATTATCTGAGCATTAAAGACTTACATCTTAAATTCTATGAAAAGGTCCAATCTAATTTTTTCCTATAAGAAAATGGATAAATGTTAATATTATTTTGTATGTGAAAATCGGTCCTAAATTGACGCGTTCTTATAATATACTACATATATTGAAGTAGATTAATGACGTCACATTATCAATGACTGTTATTAACAGCGGTACACACGGTCACTCTGGCAGCAGGTCCTATGCATGTAAAAGATTATGTTAAGCATTAGTGTTAAGAGTCAGTCTGTGACTAGCGTTGAACAAGAAAATAACTTTGAGAATAGTATAGACTCGTACATTTGATTTAATAAACACAGATACAAAATAAACTTTATCATCCACTCACAATATATATATTAACTTTCGAAGCCAACTTTTTCTTTCTTATATTGCTGCACAATTTCCAACCCTTTTTGGCTGCGCAAATGGTTAAATAAATTGAATCTGAAATATATTTGTAAAGCACTCGTGATTCATTCGTTCACAAATCAATTGGTACACATTTAATTTATGCCATATTTTAAGACATTATTTAAATGAAAAATAATTTATCAAACGCATCGATAAATGGAATGGTTGAAGTACAATTGCAGCCCTTGCCGTTGATTGGCCAATATAAGTCCAAATAAGCTTTTGATGTGACTTTAACACAAATGTGAATCAAATAAAGAAAAGGTTTAGACGAGGCGCCTGTTAAGGCGTTTGCGTTTATTCAAAAGAGAAAAATTCGTGCCAAGCAAATGGGCACAAAAACGTATCAAAGGTGGGCCGCATAAAGCGACGGCCACGCCCACAGAAACAGTCGACGCCCACATGACTTTATCACAGTGTGCGCTCCATAGAACGGTTGAAGCCATTTGGGTTTTTTGTTCAAACGGATACATCTCAGTTAGTTGTCCGTGTAACTATCTTTTTGTGTGTATATGTGTGTGTTTATCTTGGCCAGCAGCCTACATAGTTTATCTATGTGCATGTTTGTTGTGCGGCTTGTAGTCGACTTTTGCGCACTTATTCCATATTTAAGAGGCAATTTATATTCCCTTTTTGTTTTCGTGCACTATGCCGCAAATGCCATTCAACTTTCAGCTACAGTTTCCGTTCCGCGACTGTTTCTGATTTCTGGCCGGCACAAAAACTGCTGCACGCCCACACAGGACGTGTGCACAGTGAATCCTGCTACTGCCAACAACAACAACAACAGCGAGTCCTGGCAATTGGCTAAGCTGTCCATCCTGTCAGTTTTAGCCTGTGCGTGTGCGTGTGTGTCGGCGTGTAGCCAATTATCATTTTCCTTCTATTTTTTTTTGAAATGAATAAAAACGACTCTTGACTCCAGACACGCGCGTGCCCTCCTGCCGTGCAGCTAAACAGGATGTATCTAAATGGCATTTCCATAGCCACGCTGTGGACTTTTGCACCTTGCGGCAATTGCAATGTGGCTGCCACGCGTTTTTTTTTTTATTTTTTGTATTTTTTCATTTTTATTGTGTCATAAATTATTCAAACGTAAACATCATCAGCAGAGCAGCAGGCAGCAGGGGGTATGAGGGGCGCATCAGCGTCCTTTCTCATTATCAACAGCACCGCACGCTTAACACACACACACACACACGCACACACCCACACATGCAATCGCTTATTTCTGTATTTTTTTTATATATATATATATATATCGTCCTTCTGGCTGTCCTGCACAGACGCTGATGACGCGGAAACAGGCGCAGGACGACGCCTGCCGGGGCTTCGCATAAATAAAGGCGCCATCGCTTGATAAATAAGTAGTGCACGTAGGCATTCGGCATAATGAAGCGAGCAGCCACCCACAACCCCCCTCCCCCCCCCCCCTCCTTCTCCTCCGCTAGCCGGTTCAGCCTCGCCGCTATCCAGGCTATGCCCATGCCCAGTGTCCCCAATTTGTTGTCGGGACCAGGCGGCGTATACGTAATCACGCATTGATATGCCATTTAGCTGGCCCGGCTGCCACGCACGAGCAGCTGGAGAGTTGCTGCCTGGAAGTGGGCTACATTCGGGCTGATTTATGCAGTCGATTTTACAGTCTCAACTTTATTGTTTTTTATAGCACAATTATTTTTATTTTTGCGGCAAGGTAAACGTGGCCCGAAGTAGGGCTGCAAATTAAATTGATGCCACTTGCAGCATTCAATTTCAAAATGTATATTTACGAGCTGCTGCCGGTCGCAAAGTCGTTACAACTCTGATTACATGTTAATTAAACTTATGTTTAATGAATTCGACCTTTGTGTGTATTTCGGGCCCTTCCCAATTACTGCAATTACAATGGAGTGCACTGTCAACATTTACAGGCACTCATTTGCACACTTGCACCAACAACATTGAGTGCATTATGCATTTTATGAATATGCAAATTGATATTTGAAAATGTTTTAATGCCCGTTGTGTGGACACTGTGGGCTCCTTTAAATAATATATAAGCGGGGAGTTAGTAATATGAGATTTGGAAGGGAAATGCTTTGTGGTTATACAATACAAATTTCATGATTTTATTTTTACTTTACTATTTTCCCCCATTGTCAAACCCTACTCAAAAGTACAATATCAAATTTTCTATGAAGTAAAGTTATTTTTATAGTTATTTGACAGCAGCTCAATTGTTCTGTCAGCAGCTTTAACATGCATGTTTAATTTCAACAGCTACTTTAAGCAAAGCTCGTTTAGCTCATGCTCAAGTGATTGTTAACTTTTGACAGGTGCATATGAAAACTGGGTTAATCGACTTGGATGCTTGCAAAGTTTCCGATCAATGCGTTAAGTTTTCGACTTGCATGGTAAATCTCATGTGGATTGCTGTCAAAACAACGAGAACATTCGCAAGGGACAGGCGGGGAGGGGGGAGGGTGGGGGGTGCGCTCAATCGAATTGTGTTCAAGATGCTTTCCAACACTAACACAACAGGCTATTGTCTTTGCCGCACACAATGGGAAATCGTGCTACGGTACTTGTTGTTCTAGTGTTATCTCTCTATAGAAGATGAACGCCTGGCACACACGAACCCCGATACATAAATATATGAGAGTGTGTGCGTGTGTGAGTGTGTGTGTGTGTGAATACTTAATGGCAAGTATGTTTTGTCTGTGCGATTAATTCCATTGGCACCGATTGAAACTTTCCGCTTCAAGGCAGCAATAAATTTGCGACTGGATATATATTTACAATACTCGTGCATGTATCGCAAATGAGCACACACAGGGACTTGAGTGTGTGTGTGTGTGTATTATGTTTGCCATTAAGTGCATCCTTTAATTTACATATTCATTAAATTACAAACGATCTCACAGTTCCGCATAAAATTCAGTCGCAAAATGCGGAAAAACAAGACACGCTGCCGCCCGGGGTTTTAAGGGCATGTTCATGTCTATGGCCCAGTCCATGTCCGCATCCGCATCCTCATCCGCATTCGCTTCCTGGTGCGCATCTTTTCGAACTGCCTGTTTGGGCATGGACGATGAATACAAACTTGTGTTGCCAACGCTGGCATTTGCATTAAGCCCATTTAATTATACTAAGTACATAGTAAATACGACAGTCGAGGAGCAGGGATAAGGGGATTCGAACCAGTGTAGTGGTTTAACTCTGTCTACACTCACAATATATGTCCAACTATAGTACTTACTCATATATGAGTACATGCTATACTTGAGTATATTTGCCTGCGGATATCCGCACACACACACACATACACGAATACGAACACGCCATCATGTTTGCACGCGTGTTTACCCTGTCGCAGTCATAAATAATTTATGCCTGCGTGAATTGGTCAACTGCCCCCAAAACTTTGGGCCACCCGAAAACAAACGAGCATCTGATGTCTTCATCTTCATTTACATGTTAATCCCACCCATCCTCGCCGCCCCTCCACAAAATGTCCATGTATTATTATATGCACTGTGTAAATCAGCTGCTGGCACATGTTTCTTTAGCCCCACCTCGGTGCTCATTTGCATCTAAGCCAAGAGGCAACCATTAGGCGCAACAGTCCCTTGGTTCTAATTAGAGTTCTGAGCGGTCCACACATGCAATTAATACACACACACGCGTGTCGAATATGCATAAGGCTTCTAAATTTAATTACACTACAGAGATTTGGCAAGTCGTTGTCCGAAATTTATGGAGATATTTGCACATGACCAAACGACACCTTAACGAACATTTATTTGAGCTGTTTAAAAATTTAAACTAAGAGCTCTCTTAGTGCAGCTATCCTAAACTTAATTAAATAATAGTACCAACTTATATATTTAAGCTGAAACACTGCTATTAAAATTAATTTAATAATTGTATTGTTTTATATTAAGAGCTTAGTTAACATAAATACTCGCTTTGAACTATTTGCATGTCAGAGGAGCTTAAAAGTTTTACAAACTATATTCCATCCCGAGTAACTATTAACATTGTTTAATTTAAATTTAAATAGTTGCGCTTTCATATTATTAATAATTCCAGCTTAGTCAATTCAATCAGAAACGTTTTCATACAATAGCAAAATAACTGATTGAAAACTAATGTGCGTAGTTCAATTAATTTTATTTTTCAGTAAATTCAAAGCACACGCTTATTTTATTTTATTGTTTTATTAATTTTCCATTAGCTTTAGACTAAAAGCTATAAATAACAAATGATATCATTGTCCACACATTGTGAGTCTATATTAACACAAAAACTCAACATATGTATGCCTCCCGCTGTGCTTCACGCTACAAAAAAACGTGTTTCTAAATGTCGCCCTTCTATGCAATTCTCATAAGCCTCACTGGACTTGAAGTGTTATTTAACAAGACATGTGCGTCAGCAAGCTAATCTTATATTTTTATGTGTGCGTGTATGTAGACATACAAATGTATTTTTGAATATGCGTGTGAATGCATATATGTATGTATGTGTGCATATATGCGTGTATATTTAGATATACACATGTACGTAAGCATGCACGTAAGCATGTACGTTAGCATGTGCGTAAGCATTTACGTAAGCAACTGTCAAACGCAGTCAAAATTTGTTTCCCGCTGCGCTGCAGATTATAATAAAAACTTATTTTTAGATATTGACGTTCTATGCGATTCTCACGCCCCACTGCTTTTCATGCTTGATTATATAAACAAGAAACTGTGTCGCTGAGAATACTCGTACTCTTATTAACAGATCACTCTCTATCTCTCTCCTCTCTTCTCCACCTCATCTTGCACATTTTGTACGTGTTCTTACTATCATCTGCTCTCTTCTTCTTTTATTCTTTTAGTGATGTGTTTATATAAAAGTCTGTCTCCCTCCCACTAATAGATGACATTAAAATAATCTTGCGTGTGTATGTGAATCTTTGGGTAAGTACACATTCTCATTAATACAATACATAAATGAGAATATATGTGAAAACAATTCAGATCTGGGCACGGGCAATCTTCTAGCATTAAACAATAATATTTTGTAGTTTCTTTTATTTTGTTGCATACTTTTCAGAAAATTGTCTTGAATTTTCTTTTGTCTTGTTTTGATCAATATTTAAAACAAAAGTGTCGTGAAATATTTAAATATGCTTTGTAAGACTGTTTTAATTCTTTTCAGTTGGTTGACATTTAAATATTTTTTAAGGGAACGCTCCATAATAATAATTATAGTCAAAGTTAGACTCCAAGAACTGAGTCTGGCAAGTTTCGGGCTCAGCAAGCAGCCAACAAAGGGCGGCAATTTGAGATTCCTCGAAAAGAATTACGCTTCCACTTTGTTTTTTAATTATATTTCACATTTGACCTTTTTGCCTGAGTGTGTGCTAAAATGATTTGTTATGCCCGCCTGTGTGTGTGTATGTGTGTGTGTGTGCGGGTCTCCTGTGCCATATCGTCTGCCACTTCTGTCCTGGCTGCTGTCAAAGCTGTTTTGCCTGTGCGAGCCTCTCAGTTCCAAATGGCAAAGGCGAAACTAGCGTCACCCGGGCCCAGTCAGCAGTCACCCGGCACCAGGCACCAAAGTTGAACTACAAAACATTTTTAAATGCCATTTAGTGCACCTAACAAACACACACGCACACAACCTCAAGCTCACACTTGAGCCGTGTGTGTGTGTGTTTTGGTTGGCAATGCCGGAACCATGGGCGGTGCAATTGCAGAACTTTCCCCTTTCATTATGCTGTGCAAAGTAAAAAAAAGAAGAAATAAACGAGGTTACATGCCTGCTTGAATCCACAACCGAATGAGACACCGCCTGGCAAGCGCTTGGATACTTTGCTCCCATTTTTTCAACCTTACAATACATATATATATATATATAGATATATGTACTTTTGGTATTAAGTTTTTTGTCAGGAATCGCCAACTTGGCGTATTACATTCGGAAATACACACTTTTTTTTGTTGCTCTCTTCTGACCAATTTTTGTCAATATCGCATTTTAAATCAACTTGGAAAAAGAAAATACAAACACACAAACTTCATATCCTGTTGGGTTTGGGTTTCTTTTTGGGCAGGATATTTTAAGGTCGTTTGGCTCGTAATTAGAAAAATAAAATGATATCTGTGCGCGCACAATATGAGAAAGTTGCGCCGCAGTTGACAATTGAATTTACGGACACAGTGAAAAATTTCTCTTTTTTGTGGATTTCGAGAGACGGAGGTGAGGGGGCGCAACCTCAACATGAAATTATTTTCCTGTATGTGCTGCATCCTGTGCGTGCCCCGATTTTCTGCAAGCGGAAATCGAAAACAAGTTGGCCGAACATATTGAAGCTGGTCTGGAGCATGTCTTTTTATCAGAGCCGCAGCACAAGCTGGGAAATTGCTTTTTAACAGGCTTTTTGTGGCATGCTCATGCAATTTGTCAATTCCCCAAGGACATCTTATGCAAAAGTGCTTCCAATTGAATGAATTATTCTTCTTATAATGGCCATCATTCCATGGCTCGCCAAACGAAATGCTCGGCAAATATCTGGAGAAATGCGTAAAAATATTAAAATTTTAATTAATTAAAAAACAAGAAGAAAATTCTTTAAGCCGAAGAAAACAGAGTATAAAATTCTTAGTAAAGCCGAAAATAGTTTTTACTGTAAATAAAAACAAAAATATTTGAAAATGTGAGAAAATTCTTGGGACATACAGAAAATAAATACTTGTTTATTTCATTAGAAATGTGCTATGGCTATTTGTTATGCTAAAATATTTCTGAAAATTGCCGTTGCCATAGAAAAAATGTCCTTTGACAAAATTAAATCTTAAAATCGAGCACAAGAAAAAGGCAAAGATAAAAAAATAATGATTCACAGAGCATTAACAAGATGCTTTCACCTTTTTTTTACGTTCTGTCAACCGTTTGAATGTAAAATGCCAATCAAGCACACAAAATGTGTCCAAAATGAAGATGAGTCAAAGAGAAGATAATTAAGCTAAAAAAAAATCAAGGGAAAACCGAAAGAAAGTTGAGTTTTTAATTAGAAATATAAGAGAACGGGTCGAGTTAACTCTGCGACATAAGTTGCGTTAATTATTTTAATGACAAAGGTTTGCTAAAATTCATTGCTAAGAAAGGGCGTAAAAAACAGTAGGAAACGAAAGAAGAAAATATTAAAAACGGAAAGCAAAGTTTTCTTGGGAAAAGCCAAAATTATATCTAACTTATTGCCAATCCAAAGAAGTCTTAATATTTTTCCTAATACTCTTTTATGAAAAACATTTATGCCTCTGATATCCATTTATTGCTTACAAGAATTTTTATTCAATATTATTCCAAGAATGATGATCTGATAAAAATTGTATTTTTGCTGTACAGTACATGCACATAAGGACATTATGATTTCGCTTTAACACATTTTTCTTATAATTAAATTCGATTACATTCTTAATTAAGAGCTGGAAATATTGTAAAGGAAAAGTTCTATCAAATTTTAATTTAATTTCCGTCAGAAACTTGCCAGTTATGCATTAAGCAAGGTATTGCACGCGAACAGTTTTTCATGCTAAAAACGTATCTTAGTCGGGATGCTCGACTGGGGGATACCCTCTACCTTCTTCTACCAACACCAAATGCAGCTCGCTTAAGGGGGATAAGAAAGATACTCGATCTGTATGTACTTTTCTAGAAGAAAAATTGTACATTTTAGCAATTAAAAAGAAATTTGCTCAAAAAACATGATTTCAATATCCATTATTATCGGGAAAGGTATCGATTATCGGAAAAAAACTTCAACGGATAACCCAGGTTCAAAATTTCTCCAGCTCTTATTGATGCTGGCCACGAATATATATACTTTATGTGGAGCTGCTTTCTTCTTCCTGTTACATACATTTGCACAAAACCAACATACCCTTTCCCCCCATTTTCAACAGACTCTTGGAATAGGAATAAATGAAAATTCCATGAACGAAATGCAATAAATAGTCGTGACAACCTTTAAACACAGAGCTAAAAAAAATGGAATATCAAATTCATATTTATTTCGCTTACTGATAAAAAATACTCAACTATTGATAACTGTGCGAAACTGACACTTGAGATTTATCGTCCTTTTGAATGCCTTTAGAATGCTTTAGAAAGCAAAACTAAATAACATTTATGTCACAGTTAAGTCTAGTTTACAAGTTTTCTCCAAAAAAAAAGGCTTGTTTGCTTGAATTTTATGTTTACGAGTCGCCTTGCAATGTGCTTGAATCTGGCACATATGTACTCAGGACTTTCTGCAAAGTTTCAAGCGTACTTTCCTCTCTGTTGCTTTTCTCTCTCTCTCTCTCTCTCTCTCTGAGACTTTTCCAAGAAGTTGTCGTTGGAGTAGTGCAAAGCTTGCACTTTCGGAGCTCCTTTCAGTCATAACTTTGCCCATTGATTGCGCGCAACAAAGCGAATCTTAAATATTTTCTTGCTATTTCTTGCCCTTTAACTGTTGAACCAAGCACTCTTTGCATTCATATTTTATAAGATGTCAATCAGAGACTCTTCGCATCAGAATTTATTGCTACTACTTATCATTTGACGAGCTGTTAAATAACTGCAATAGTATCATCAAATTTGCTCAAATTACTTTGAGTTTTGCAAGTATTTAAAAGAATTCTTGTTCCTTTATAATTGACTCTGTCCTTTTAATTTATGAACATGATAATTAATACTTGAAACTGAGAATTGAATTGCATAATCCACTTTTTTTCACACGAAAATTCTTTCCTATTAAAAAATATATCATAGTGTTTATCAGAGTCTCGTTTTATGAATCAACTATTAGTAATTAATGCGTTTAAAATGAAAATAACAAGAAAGTAAGGATATCTCGTAAATGCTGAAAATATCCTGGAAAATCGAACATTTTGCCATATAATAAGTTACAGTTACCTATCTTTTCAATGGCAGCTATACAATTTAAATTTAAATTTTTATATTCTAAACGAACTGATAAAAAGTATAAAAAGTTATTCCAGAAAATTGTTCTATGCATACAAAACTCGCTTGAGTAGCTGGCACAAAGTTTGAACTTTCTAAAGCCAAAACTTGTCTGCCCTCGACCAGAGTACAGGGTATATACTCGTCGGGCACTTCCGACTCACCATCAAAGTGGCCAATATCTGGCGATTGATGTGTCGTCTCTGGGAATTTGTTGCGCTTCAGTTTTAATGCCTTTAAGCAGAGACAGCGCATTCATGCAGCACGCGGCATGCAACATGAGGCACGCGTCTCTGGAATTCGTTGCAGGCTTATAAAAAAAAGTGCTGACAATCAGGACACATTTTCGGTATGGCAACTGTGAATGCAATTGTTAAATGCAACAATTTTTAATGCGCTTGCAACTTTTATTTCGAACGTTGTGTGTGTGAGCGTGTGTGTGCGGGTGTTTGTACGTGTGTGTGTTGCAATTTTCCTTGGCATCTTTTTCTATTTGTGTCGCTGCTTCTTGCACGTCTGCAACTGCAACATTTCCTGTTTGCACTGCCATGATTTGCAGTCATTGCCCCACTCAGCTCCCTTCCTGCCCCCTCCCTTGCCCCACGCCCCTGTCACTGGCCCTGTCAGCGGCACTCGCATGTGAATGGACGTGTGAGTTGCCTGGAGAAATGTCTACGTCTGCTTCAACTTTTTCTTCATCTTGTTCTGCAACTGCTGGCTCGCCATTCTCTACCTCATCTGGCTGGCTGGCTGCCTTTCATGCAAAAATATGCAATTTTATCGGTCTTTACAGATTCGCCATACAACAAAAAAAAAAAAAGCAGGAAAAAGAAAAAGAAAAATTACAGAGCTGAGTTTGAAAATGTCGTGGCTTAGGGCCTGGAGAAGCTCGTGGCATGAAAAACGTTTGCCAAGCAAAAATGTAAATATTTATCATGCCGGAAACATGCGTTGCCTCAGCTACGTCTACTTCAATTTGTACTTGCTACAAGCCAACTTCATCCCTCTACCCCCCCCCCCCCTCCCCCGTTGAACACCCTCTTGAAATTCCGTTTAGGAATGTGTAACTATGCTTAAGTCCATGCGTGATGCTGGCAGTGGCAGAGCGCTGCAGCCAAATGCCATTTTAAGCTTTTAGTTAATTTAAAAGTTGAAATATATTTGAAATCCCAACATTTTGTTACACTGCCTGTCCCGAAGAACTGGTCGCTTCCGACCCAAAGCCAACGCGTTGTCATGACTCACACCAAAACGGAATTACGAGTAAGTGAACTGAAGACAGAACGGGAAGAGTAAAAGGAACAATCAAGAGTGCTCGACTGGCAGATACCCTGCAGATTAAATGAGATGAATAAACTTTGTGAAATAAGGTTTTGGGGGAAAATATGGCAGTAAGAAAAGCAAATCTTTAATAAACTCTTCCATATACTCAAAGATCTAAGTTTAAATTTAAAAACGAAGATTTATCATAGATCTGAATGCCTGCTCTTTAGGCAGAGCTGGGTCAGGCACACAGACTTATTTAATTACTCAATTGTTATTGTTAATCAATATTTCTGATTACACCTTTTACGCAATTTCTATGGCTACAGGGTATACAAATATTTTTTGTTAAAAACGTGCCGACATTTTGGTTGTCAACACACACACACAGAGACACACCCGCAGAGACATTGAAATGAAAGAGATGAAACTGGTCATGGGAATACTTAGTACATAGTAGATGGATGCTGTTGTGGGTTCGGCTCCTCATAGTTAAACTTTAGTTTTATAGCTGCAATTTAGAGAAATTGTGCGATTGTCGTTCCGTCTGCGGCTCCGACCCCGTCTCCGCCACCGACTCCGTCCGGCTCCGTGTCTGTGTCAGCAAACCGTCGCAATCGTTACATTTGAGACAATTGTTTAGCCTCAGATATATGCGATTTAAACGAGTCTGTTTAGACCGAAAGATAAATTACACAACTCGTCATGTGTCTGGGCATAGAGACCAACTACGAGCGAGCATTGTTAATGAGCCCCAAGCAGCTTAGTCGCTCACATCATTTGCCATGTTTTCTTTTAGGGATTCCTTTTTCTGGTATTTTTGGTTTTTCTGTATTTCGCCAAGGATTAAGCTCTTCATGGCATTGTGTATGTTTAACAGATTTACATGTTCAGCCACAACAAAGAAATTTCGCATCAACATTTGCAGGTACTTTATGCTTATTGCATTAGCCTGTGTGTAACCTCTTGTGTGCTGTCGGCAATTTAATGAGCTTTGGCCATGTCGCTGTTTGGGGACTTAAACTCTTAATTAACGCATAGCAATTATTTCAAGTCTGGAGAACATTTAACAAGTTGGCAGCAATAAGTGCAATGCTTCAGCTAGTATTTTATTTTTAATTTAAATATTATAATTAGTTTGCAACGAATTTATTTCGAACATGAGCTCCAATTTCAGGCAAAACTTGAATGGAACATTTTCTAGCACTCGACCAACTTCTAAGCACAGCCATTTAACAAATTTAGAATCGGACAAAGCTTGATTTGACCCTTAAATATATACAAAATTCGCTTAAGAATAGTTTTCATAAACTAGTCTTATAGCTTTTGTTGCCAATTCTTGATATTCTCTCAAATATTGCTTTTTAAAGCACGGAAATTTGAAAAAGATCTGGACACATTTATGAGACTGTTTCTAGTTCTCTGCTGCCAGCTCAGTATATAAAAAGATTTTGATACTTTTTAAAGAGTTCCGTTCATAGTAAAAATGAATATTATAGTTGTCTTTTAATATTCGTTGCCCCCATTGAAAGGAGATAGAAAAAAGCTTAGCTAAACATAGAAAAAGATCATGAGGATCGTTTAAATGCGGCGCATTTACATATTTCCCCACTTATTTGTCTATTCATGAAATTCCAAAAACAAGGCATTAAGCTATCGAGTTCCCTAAGTTCGCTAGGATCAATATTGAAACCTTCTTGCTTTACGCAAGGATTCACTGCGACGCGCACAAAATCAAAAGAAATTTGTGAATATATTTTGCATATGGGCGTTTACAGGAACGCCCATCGGGGAAAATCAAAGAAAAATTAAAATTATTTTCTTTTTTTGGCTTGAAAATGTTGGAAAAATCACTTTTTTATATCTATGCAAAAACTGAAAGGTTTTTAAATAAAACAAGTAAGCGTCAATAATAAAAGAAAGTGTTATTTTAAGTGCGTTGCTCGTTTTATAATTGAATGTAATCTAAACTTTGGCATTAGCTAATGTAAATCTTACATCTTCTTTAGTTTTATTTAACATCAGTCACAAAACCTTTTATTAAAAATTCTTTAATAAATTTCTCTCAAATTTATTGCACATAATTTTATAACTCAGCCTTTATAAAAGCATCAAAATGTAAATTAACCGAGACATTTGTTAGCTTTTCTTGCTTTTTGTTGTACTTTTATAATTTGTCATATGCATAAATATTATTGTAAGCGCACTTTAAGAAATTGAAAGCAAACAAAAGCCGGCAAAAATTAAACAAAATATGTCAAGTGAAATTAATTTGAATTTTGCTAATAATAATTTTCATATAAAAACATTCAAGTTTATTTTCTTTGATGAAAGACTTTGTCAACGTTTTTCGCTAGAATGTTGCCACCTTTTTGGTATTTTTAAAGTGCGGCAACTCTCTGCAGTCAATTTGAAAATGTTGCATAATTAGGGAAAGTTTGGAATTTGCATAATGAATTTTTAATTGCGCCCAAATGAGCAAAACTATGTACAATTTGTGTATTTTGGTATTATTTGCGCTGATTTTGATTTAATTTCATTTGAAGTTGCAGTCAGTCCGAACTCATCAAAGTTCCTGAATAATTTTCTATATATTTGCATTAAGTTAAATAATATACATTTGCTATTTTGGCAAAAACTGTTTGAATAAATAAAGCTACAAGTTCGCGAAACATTTTAAATTTAAAAATCCCAAGGCTATAAAATAATTTAAAAAATAAAAAGCTAAAAATAAAACGATTTTTCTGATCGTTAAGATAATAAACTTGAGGGAGAACTCTGGAGCTTGGCAAAAGCCAAACGTGAAAGTGTTTTTATTTTGCAAGACTGTTATCTCAGGTCCATTGAATGCAGTTCATTTGCAGCTGTATAATGCAGGTGAGTGTAGCATATTGGTTGTGTTATGTGGCATGCGCCACGTGTGCAACGCTTGATAAACCGTTTGGGGCAAGCTGCAAACTGCAAGCTGGCAGCAGGCAGCAGGCAGCCTGCGCATTTAAAATGGCGCATAAAAGCCAGGTCAGATGGGGTGTGGGGGCAGCTAGTACCTGGCTGCAGGTGGGGCTGGGGCTGGGGCTGGGGCTGGTCTGTGAATTGAGTTCAGTTCGCATTCATGGCACACGGCCCGTGGCTGTGGCCAAGGCTATTTAAGGATGCCACGCTCTGATGCGTTGCACAGTTAAGATTCGAACTGGCCAGCGAAAAGGTGCGACTCGGCCATAAAACAAGCATACGGAACCACAGCTAAAGCGGATACTTAAGACTTACGTTTTATTTCCTCTTCGACTACTTGCAGCACCGAGCGAAGGAGGCGCAGCAGCAACAGGATTCGAGTCGAGGCGAAATTGTCGCAGTGCGGCGGCGGCGGCGGAGCGAGTTTAGTGTATAATATTTGAAATCAAAGCGAAAGGGTATCAGCATGTCGGCGCTGCTCCATCTCAATCACAAGCTCAATATGCGCACAACCGCTGTCAAAATGAAGATGCCGCCAGTCCGGCGGAGCGACGGCAGTTCCAAACCGGAAACAGTCGCGAGCGCAGCCAATTGATGACAAATTCTAGAAGAAGAAGCAGAAGCAGAAGCAAACAAACTAAGCTAATCCAATCGCATTTTCTACGTATTTACTGTTACGTTTTCATCGTTTCCTTGATGAGCTACATTAGAGCTATTTGTGCAACAACTGCGCGGCAAGCGGAAATGAAAATCCGCAGCAGCAGCCGCGGCAGCAGCAGCAGCAGCCGAGGCATTTGCATTATAAGACTGATAACATTAAAGAGATTTCTACAGATTTTGGCAATGCCAACACACACTCAGCAGCGGGAGCGGGAGCGTGAGCAGGAGCAGCGGGAGGAGCGGGAGCAATCAGCGCAGAGGAAACGCCATTTATGGCACACGCAACCCGCATCCTGTTGGCAGCATCAGAGCAACATCCACAGCAGCAGCTGGCTTTTGTTGCTGCTGCTGTTATCGTCGCTGTGGCCGGACTGCGAGTGCCTGCACGGCGCCAAGCTGAGCCCCAGCACCGTGAAGACCAAGTATGGCCTGCTGCGCGGCATTGTTGTGCGCTCCCAGCCGCTGGTGGAGGCATTTCTTGGTATACCGTATGCATCGCCGCCTGTGGGCAGTCTCAGGTGAGTGCTTAGCCGAAGATAATGCGGGCTAACCACCCGCTGCGTGTGTGTGACTGTGTGCCCGTGTGTGTCTGTGCGTGTGTGTTTATTATACCCTGCACTCATTGAAATTATGTATAAAGGGTATAAAGTATATGTGTTATTAATATTATCATTTTATTATTATTATTATTCTCGATCAATTTGACAAGCTGAGTCAATCCTTGTCCGTCCTTCCGTCTGTTCGCCTGTTCTCATATATTATACACGAAAGAAGTTAACCATTTTTCGATATATACTCCCATTTCCAAAATATCGATAAATATCGATTTCGGAACAAGTTTTTTAAGCTTTTCTTGAAGCTTCTTAAAGTGCTACAGACAGCCAATTAGCATGCAAGCTCTGCCATAATGCACACAGATCCTTAAGATTTTACTAGTTGGATACCTTTCTCCCTTCAGCCAAAAATGTCCAAGAAAACGTATAATTTTTTTAGGTTTCGTCTGGGTCTTGAGTACGAAGTTTCATTTGTATGCCCTGAAAATCCATACGACAATAAACAACAAACTTCCTAAAGAACGTACTTCATTGGCTAAGGGGTATCTTCTAGTCCGGCATTGCCTGCATGCTTTCTTTTTTTTTCGGTCTTCCCCTACGTTTCGCCCAACGCAGCGCAACTTTATCAGGCTCCTGCGCCAGGCAAAAGCAATTTTAATAATTATTTTGATAATATATGTATGTATGTATACGTGAGCACGGGCACAAAGTATGTCCGGAACTTTGCACATTCATGTAATGCGGCCTTAGCCAGCTTCCGGGTCTCCACATTGTTTGCCAGATTAAAGTGCCAAGGTCTTGGCCCGGCCAATAGCCAAAAGGGCTCCTAATGAAGCTAACTCTATCTCGCGTTTATTTTACAATTAGCAGTTGGCAGCCTTTTAATATTTATCTTGCAAGACAATGCGGCAGAGCGTCGTTTAATCAGCTTAGAGCCGGTAAACGAGCTCATTTATATCAATATTTGCAGGTGCTGAGCTTAGAAACTAGCTAAGCCAACTAAATAACCCAGTTGTGCCACAAATGTTAAGCTGCTTACATTTTGCTATTAACAGTGCCCTGTTAAACAACAGCAACAAATTGTAAGCTCTTTATAACATTCTGCTATTAACAGTGTTCTGTTAAACAACAGCAACTAAATTCGAAAATATGTTTTATTATTATTACTTAAAGTAAATTTTCCCTCTGCAAACTTATAAAGCGAGCTGAAACAGTTTTTTGCTGCTTTAAAGTTATGTTCACGAAAACTTTTAACATGGTACATAATATGACTTGAAACAGGCAGCAGGCATCGGCAAAAATTCAAAGTTTTTGCATGAAAACTTTGCTTTTGTTGCCACAAAAATAATGCAACTATTCTGCGTACACATTTAAATTCAAATTAATCTAATTTTCTAGCATATAGCTATAACAAGACAAGTTTCTAGTTATATTTTTCGACCATTTGATAGCTTTTCATTATGTTCAAAATGTTTTTACAACACACAATGTAATTCTGATTATTATATTATGTACCAGTAAATATGTGGGATATATATATATATGTTGCCACAGAAACCTTCTTATTTCTATATTGTTAGAAGCCCGGCGACTTCATCTAACTAAAAACCTAAAACAACAACATTACAAGCAAAAATGTATAGAATTAAAACGATCTGTGAAAAATTTAGATTTTATAGAACAACTTTTTTGTTTATCCCAAATTCATGAAACATATCAGAAAGTCGCAGCTCAGAATGGTTTGAAATAAAATGCACTTTATAATCTAAAATATTTTTAATTTCTTTTGACTGAAAAACATTTATTCTTCTGAGATTATTAAAATAATAGATTTATGCTTATAATAGATTATTGTTTATTAAGTTGAGTTAACTTAAAGACATTTTAAAATAGTTTTTCTTTTATTTTGAGACATTTTTTTTACCCGGAAGATATTTTTATTGCTTAATCTAAGCTCTAGAATCTCTAGAACTTGATTAAAATAAAAAGGGCGTTTATTAATTTCCAATTATATCGATCTATATTGCCATTCACTTTAGAGTTATTATTTAAAAAAAAAAAGAACCAAAATGATGAGATTGCAGATTGGGCTCGATCTATAAATATAAAAATTAAAAGTATTTTATTTATTTTATTTTAATTGAAAAATGATAGCTTCTCACTTAATATAAGCACGAATGTGTGTAGACCTGAAATTAAATTCCTCACTGAAGATTTATTGCCAAAAGAAAGAAAAAAAACTATAATGTATTCTATATGTTGCCGGGCCAATTATTTTCTGATTCTGATAAAACGAGTTTGGTTTGTTTTTTTTACAATCTTTTTGATTAGTAACTTTGGCGACAGACACTGATTTGTTTAGACACAATGATTAATTAGCTTTCGCCTGCTATCCGGCAAATTGACAATTTGTCAAATATCACGTTTATTTGGCCCGCCCCTTCCCGCCCCCCTGCCCCCTCCCGCTTGTCCAGTTTGCCAATTGTCATTCGAGCATGAATAATTTTCAGACAGACTTCCAGGCCAGATGTGCGTGTATCTGGAGGCAAATCAGAGCGAAATTCAGTGGCATTTGATGAAGTCCTGTTGCTCATTTGTGGCATCTGTTGATGCTGCATAACAATGAGGCAACATTCATAAGCGGACTTCATTGACTTTTGGACTTTGTGCAGGAAGTAATTAAAGAGCAATTTGCCAGAGATTGTCAGCAAGAGGCGGGCGGGGTGGGGCGGGGCAGAGGCGCGTAGCATCTACATCACCTAACCACACACTTGTTGTGCCTGTCAGAGTCGCCAGGAATAAGTATTGCAGGAATAGATACAGGACACAGGACATAGGACAAAGCAAACTCTGCCGTGTGCATAAGTGACAAAGTGTTGCAAAACTTTTGCAATATGCCGCAAACTTTTCTTTGGATTCGTTCCGAAGCGCAGCTACTTGCAACACGGCGAATGTCTCTTCTGTAACAAAATTTTGTTGAGATCTTTCATCGAACTTTGGGCGAATCGACGCCTGACTAGGCAGGAGAGAAACAGAGCGAGAGAGAGCGAGACAGTGAGAGAGAGAGCGAATTGGAAAACTATTGAAGAACTAAGTTAGGGAACTGAAAGAAAGTCATGATTACAATTACGAGGACAAACACCGTGCAACATCGTTAATGCCAATATTTGTTCAAAACTTGGTTTCAGCGGGAATATACATATGTATATATATATATTTTATATATATTTTTGGGTACTCGAAAATGTCGTTAAAGTTCCAAATTCGTAAATCCTATTACAGAAACTTTATCCATCAAATTATAAATTTTAACAGTAGCTGCACAAATTTTGGTGAATAAACAACTAAAACAAATTAAAAAGTAATTAAACATGATTTTTCTATATACCCCGTAGTCAGGCAATGAAGAATGAGGGGTATTTTGAGACCAAGCGAATGTTTAATTTGGGGTAACTTATGTGTTAATAATTAAGTGTTAAATATTTTATATTTTGAATGAAGCTCTTGACTTTTGATTGCTCAAAAATGCAATTCATAAATATCTTCAGCGGTAGCTAAGCCCATATGTTAATTTAAAAAGCAATTAGTATTAATTATTTTTGTAAACATAAATCAAAATCAAGAAAAAACGAAATTTTTAGCTTAAATACTTCTCTAGACATGAAGATGAGAAGCAAATTTGGGAAAGCAACAAAGGTTGTCGATACGGCCGATTCTTCCTATAGAACTATATGTTATATTAGTCCAAAGTTGATTCGATTTGTCATACATTAGCTTTAGTTTTGATTAATCAAGAATATATATACCTGTGGGGATCGGAGATGTTGCCTTCTATATGCTACACATTGCATGACAGAAACATAATAAAAGTTTGTCATACTTATTTTTTGAATGATCAAGAATATATATATATACTTAATGCAATCGCAGATGTTTCCTTCTGTACGCGATTCACATTGCAAGACAGAAATAAAATAAACCCTTGAAATATTTAACATATATTTAAGTGAATATGCAACGCCTTTCCGGGCTGCGACGCTCTGATAAATGGCTTGATTTGAGGATTTCAATACAGGGTATTTGTAGAACTTTCATTCATTTATTGCTTTATTTTTGCTGCAGGCATGCCCTCTTGTACGAATGAGTACAGGGTATTTGTGGAGCATTCATTTATTTATCGCTTGTTAAGACGTTGTTATGGCAAAAAGCGAAGCCAACAAAATGCGTCGTTTAATTTGAAAGCATTTGGGCTTTCATCCGTTCAGCACGCCGTGCTGGGAAACCCGGAACCGCAAAATGTGCCAACTGATTGCGAAATGGCGAAAACTGGTAAAAAGGGAATTGTAGCTGGAAAAAAGAAAAAAAATTTTGCGCATTATTGTCTCATCAGGCAACAAACTGCTAACATTTTCCATTGTATTCTCCTTCTTTTTTTTTTTGCCTCTCCTGAGATGCTGTCGGATGAGTTGTGGGCGGGGGGGGATGGGGGCGAAGCAGAGCCGGCAAATCGTAAACAATAAAAACGTTTCGCGTCAATTGTTGTGTCATAAAATCAACATTGAAGTTTTCGCCGTGGCCAACAACTCGTCGTCTCCTCTTTGATCGATGGCATTCAACGCAAAACAATAAAATGCACAATTAATCAAAAGCAGTTGCCAATTTTGATTGATGGCTCTTAGTACTTAGTTTGGCTACGCTTCACGTTAGCCAATGAATCCTTTACGTTATCACACACACACACACACAAACACTCGGCGGAAGTAATCGGGAATAGTTTGATGCCATTAGCATTACGATGTGCCGCATATACCATACATATTTATAGTCCGTACATATTGGGGCCCATTACATCGACTTGCAGATTTATGCCACCCATAACGCCATCGACGTGGAAAACGGCCCGCAATGCGGATCGATTCTCGCCCGTTTGTCCACAAAATGTGCCCATACCGCCCAACGGGCCGGAGGCCCTGCTGGAGGTGCCGCGCGCCCGTCTCGCCCAGCTGCGACGTCTGCTGCCGCTGCTCAAGAACCAATCGGAAGACTGCTTATACCTTAATATCTATGTGCCATACGAGACGCAGCGACCGAGACGTAAGTTATGCAACAAATAAATTCAAATATCTTATAAAGTTATTAATAAAGTTAGTTGATTAAGTTTACTACAAAAAATTACCCGGCATCGCACGGGTCGAATAAATTATGTTGAAAATTTAGTAATTCGGTAAGGAAATTGTTTGTGTAATTCTCGACCACGCCAGGCAGATACAAAGTGTCTCAACCATTAAGCTTCGATCCCTAAGCTTCGATCCCCTAGGATTGGCCCAACATATATTGACTTTTTAAACAATTTGTATAGAAAAATATAAACTCTAGAAACATCTTACCAAGAGATTTCATAAACAAAAACTACAATGCCAGATTTTCTTCTAAATTTACAAAAATATATTTCTTTTATTTTGAATTTCATTGAAGTGATAAATTCATTTATTTATTTATTTTTAAAAAGTCTGACAGCATAATATTTTTTCTAAAATCTTCCATATATTCCCAAATATTTCATCCAAAATTTCAGTTTAATATTTTTTATTCAATCTTGTGTTATGTACCAAAACGATGATCTTTTGTTTTTTATTTAAAAGTTGTTTATATTTTTATAAAGTTGGTAAATTAATAGATTGCGAAATCATTTTTCTTTATAATTGTACTTAATCACATGATCAAATTTTCATTATTAAAAAAATATAAAAATTTAATTTTTCATGAAATTTTTTCTTATTTTCAATCAGTCGAAAACTGCGATTGCAGTTCATAGTTTATTTAAACAAAAATATAGTTAAATGGCTGAATACATATATTATCAATAAAATTAATGAATAATAATAAATAAATAACTGAGTAAAAACATAGCCCATCAAAATGAAAAAATTAATCGAAACGAAATGCACTTAAAAGCAATTTAACCATTTAAAGGGAAAAACTTTAAATAAAAAATGCAATAAAATAAAGGTGCAATTGGTAGTTTAATTGATAATGAAAGGGAAACAGCTCTGGGCGAACGGAAAATTAAATGAACATTTTTTACAAACAGTTCGAATGATGACAGAGGGGGAAGGGGAGTTGGGCATATCGATGGCAGCGAAACTCTCAATTCCGTAGTGCATTGCAGTTGATTTAAGGAATTACTGCAAGCGCTGCAGAATTGGCAGCTCCGTTTGCCGCAGACAACATATGGAAGCCGTTCGCGAATCGGAACTCATCGGATGAACACGGAAGATATAGATACATATAACTTAAATTAAACCTTTAAAATATGTTTCTTTTTTAGCGGTTGCCAACGCTAGTTCGAGTACCAGTTCCACTTCCAGTTCCGGTTCCAATTCCGATGCGATGCTGTCCACTGTGGTGTTCATACACGGCGAATCCTTCGACTGGAACTCGGGCAATCCCTACGATGGCTCCGAACTGGCCGCCCATGGCAACGTCATCGTTGTGACAATCAATTTTCGGCTCGGCATCTTCGGTTTCCTCAAGACCGGCGGCAAGGAGAGCGCCCAGGGCAACTTCGGTCTAATGGATCTGGTCGCCGGCCTGCACTGGCTCAAGGAGAACCTGCCCGCCTTCGGTGGCAATCCGCAGAGCATAACCCTGCTCGGCTACGGCACCGGAGCTGTGCTGGCCAACATCTTGGCCGTCTCGCCCGTGGCTAGTGGTGGGTCCTTTGCCCTAACTTAACCTATTGATTGGATTCATTGTGGATTCGTTTAGATCTGATACAACGCGCGGTGCTCATAAGCGGCACTGCCCTCTCGCCCTGGGCCATACAGAAGAACCCGCTGTTTGTCAAGCGACGCGTCGCCGAGCAGACTGGTTGCCATGGTGACATGCTCTACGATGATCTGGCGCCCTGTTTGCGCACCAAAAGCGTCGCCGAATTGCTTTCAGTTAAGATCGATCATCCGCGGTGAGTGAAATTGATGCCTTTTAGGGGCTTACATCTAAAGTTAGCTCTTTAAATTATTAGTTTAAATGTATACGAGTTATGGGGGTGGGAAATCTCGACCAATGTCTATATAGGATATTTGAGGGTACCATTTTTACATGAATTTAGACCAAAACTAATGTTGCCAGATTTATATGTTGAATTGATCTAAAGGTCAAACCATGAACAAAGAGCCAAACCTCGTGGAAATCGGGTGAGATTTGACCGAGTTAGGGGGATGGGTAATTTTGACCTACATGTGTCTATATAGCATATTTGAGGGTACCATTTTAACATGAATTTTGACAAAGAATAATGTTGCCAGATTTAGATGCCAAATTGATCTAAAGGTGAACCCATGAACAATAAGCCAAACTTTATGAAAATTGGTTGAGTTTTGACCGAGTTATGGGGATGGGTAATTTTGACCTACATATGTCTACATAGGATATTTAAGGGATATTTGAGGGTACCATATTTACATGAATTTAGACCAAGAATAATATTTCCAGATTTAGATGCCACATTTATCTAAAGGTCAAACCATGAACAAAGAGCCAAACCGTATGAAAATCGGCTGAGTTTTGGCAGAGTTATGGGGGTGGGAAATTTTGACCTATGGGAATATAGGATATTTGAGGGTACCATTTTCAGATTTAGATGCCAAATCGATCCAAGTTATGGGGGCAGGAAATTTTGACCTATGTCTTATAATAGTAAGCTTATATGGAATCAAGTATATAATAATACAAGTACTTTGTACGAAGTCATAGAGGTATTATATATATGTGTGTGTGTATGTATGTGTGTTTGGGCGTATGTGTGTTAGTGTATGCATGCATGTGTGTATGCATTTTTGAATATATGTACGCATGCATGTTTGTTTTGTAATACCAAACGCAGACCAAGCTTATTTGACGCTATGACGCAAATTTAAATAAAACGATTTTAAACCAACTACTCTCCTCCTCGATTCTCAAGAATTCAAGTAGGCTCTGCGGTTTTTCATGCTTAGCTAGTAGTGTAGTATTTTTTTTGGCCTTTTTTTTGTTGTTTTTTTGTGTTGTTTTTTTGTGTTGTTTTTTTGTGTTGTTTTTTTGTGTTGTTTTTTTGTGTTGTTTTTTTGTGTTGTTTTTTTGTGTTGTTTTTTTGTGTTGTTTTTTTGTGTTGTTTTTTTGTGTGTATATGTATGAATATTTCTATGTTTGTATGTTTGTATGTTTGTATGTTTGTATGTTTGTATGTTTATATGTTTATATGTTTATATGTTTATATGTTTATATGTTTATATGTTTATATGTTTATATGTTTATATGTTTATATGTTTGTATGTACATATGTACATATGTATATATGTATATATGTATATATGTATATATGTATGTATGTATGTATGTATGTATGTATGTATGTATGTATGTATGTATGTATGTATGTATGTATGTATGTATGTATGTATGTATGTATGTATGTATGTATGTATGTATGTATGTATGTATGTATGTATGTATGTATGTATGTATGTATGTATGTATGTATGTATGTATGTATGTATGTATGTATGTATGTATGTATGTATGTATGTATGTATGTATGTATGTATGTATGTATGTATGTATGTATGTATGTATGTATGTATGTATGTATGTATGTATGTATGTATGTATGTATGTATGTATGTATGTATGTATGTATGTATGTATGTATGTATGTATATATATATGTATGTATGTATGTATGTATGTATGTATGTATGTATTTATTTATGTATGTATGTATGTATGTATGTATGTATATATGTATGTATATATGTATGTATGTATGTATATATGTATGTATATATGTGTGTATGTATGTATGTATGTATGTATGTATGTATGTATGTATGTATGTATGTATGTATGTATGTATGTATGTATGTATGTATGTATGTATGTATATATGTATGTATGTATGTATGTATGTATGTGTGTATGTATGTATGTATGTATGTATGTATGTATGTATGTATGTATGTATGTATGTATGTGTGTATGGGTGTATGTATGTGTGTATGGGTGTATGTGTGTATGTATGTATGTATGTATGTATGTATGTATGTAGGTGTGTATGTGTGTATGTGTGTATGTATGTTTGTGAAACACCCCTCAAATGAATTCGAACAAAGATCTTCAAAAATGAGGTAACTACAGTGAAAATTAATCAGTCAGGACAAACAGTTTAATATATATAGATAATGCCAACTGATTGAAATGGATTTTCGATTTCAGTTGTAGTTATTTTATTATTTCCAAAATTGAGTTACAGAGTATTGTAAATCCTTTCGCAATCTCTCGGCAATTCCTTGAGTATTTTTCTCCACAATTAATATAGAATTTCTTAACAAGCTCTATAAACTGCTTTCTTTTAGCTTTCTGGTTGGCTTTGCTCCTTTTGTGGATGGCACTGTCATAACGCCCAACACGGATGCCATGTCCAGCACTTCTCTGCCCCTGGGCTCAGCTATTGTTAGGTTAGTCGAAACGCAACGAAAGTAAACCCTTAAGCTAGCCTTTGTTTTTGCCGCACACAGTACTTCAGGAATTGAATATGCCAACTTTCCCAAACGCGACCTCATCTTCTGTCTAACGTCTGTGGAATCCTATCTGGATTTGAGCGCGCAGGATCTGGAGTTTGGCTTCAATGAGACGCGCCGGGATCGCATATTGCGTACATTTGTCCGCAATAATTTTCACTACCATTTGAACGAGATATTCGCCGTGCTAAAGGTAATTTAGACGATAAAAGCATAGAAGAATGATAAAGAAAAATTGTAAAAAAAGAGTGAAAGCCATGGTTCAAACCTTGAAAAACCAAGAACACTAAGGCGAGGCGCTGGATCGAACCGTGAAACGAACTGTTGAATATATGTAGAATTAATTTTATATGAATTAATTAGATGTATTACAAATTATAAAAAATGTTGGGAGTTTAGTTTTGAACCAGAAAATCCAGTTTCACAGATATGAGAAAAGAAGACGGCATTATTTCGAACCGTGAAACGGACTATTGAATATATGTAGAATAAATGTTATATGAATTAATTTGTTGTATTAAAAGTTAGATTAGGTTTGAACCAGAAACTGGATTCACAGATTTGAGAAAAGAAGACGTGGATTTGTTTCGAACCGCCAAACATTTTTGTTTAGCTTAAACTTTAAGGCTTAAACTTTGATAAAAGTTTTTGCATTTGATTTGCAGAACGAGTACACGGACTGGGAGAAGGCCATCAGGAATCCGTTGAGCGCTCGGGATGCGACGCTGCAGTTCCTCAGCGATGGGCACACGGCCTCGCCTCTGATTAAATTGGGCTATATGCACAGTTTGCGTGGCGGTCGCACGTATTTTGTGCACTTTAAGCATCGCACCATTGAGGAGGAATATCCACAGGTGGGTACACAACGATACGCAGCGATGACCTCTTAACCTTGACCTGCTGCTGCTGCTTGATTCATTGACAGCGAACTGGTTCGGTGCGCGGCGAAGATGTGCCTTTCTGGCTGGGCTTGCCAGTCTCTCCGCTATTTCCACACAACTACACAGCGCAGGAGCGTCAAATTGGAAGACTAATGCTGCGCTATCTGGCCAACTTCGCCAAGACTGGGTATGTCCCTTGACCTGTGACCTGTGACCCGAGCTGTCTCTAACTGTTTTGCCTTGCACACTCAGCAATCCGAACCAATCAACGCCCGGCCCCGCCCAGCTGCCGGCCACCAGCCAGAGCCGTGCACCTGTGCACCTGCAACGCAAGCGCTCGGCGCCCAGATACCAGGATGCGCTAGGGACCGGCAAAGCCCTCAACCTGGCCGTCATCTACAATCAGCGTCGCAGCAATGCGATGCACGAGAAACGCTCCTATTTCCGGCGGCGTTTGCGCAGCAACGAGGGACCCGCTCCACAGCCGGAGCTGGACGCAATGAGCACTGAGCACGAGGTGGGCAGCTATGAGGGGGATGAGCTGCCCTTCTGGGATGCCTACGACGTGGTCAATCAGCTGTACATTGAGCTGGGTAAGCCACACACACACACAGTCACATGTGCATAGAAGACCAATAAAAACTCTTCCCCCCCCCCAGCAGGCAACAAGGCCAACATTCAATCCCATTATCGCGGCCACAAGTTGTCCATGTGGCTCAACCTGATACCGCAGCTGCATCGTCATTTCAACATCAACGATCAGTCCATGCGGCATCATCAGTTCCAGGATGATCTCAACAGCCGGGATCTCTATGAAGGTAAACACGCCGATTGTGCGTAATTCTAAAGTCACCTTTTTTGTGGACTTATTCCAGGTGTTGTGCGTCCCCAGCTGCAAACGAAGCCCGCGGACGATGACAACATCATAATTATCCAAACGGGCCGAACCACAACTGCCCCGCCGCCGCCAGCCCAAAAGCATGAAAATACGAATGCAACAAATGCTTTGAGCGCCACAGGTGCAACTGCAACAACAGGTAACATGTGGAAAATTCGAAAAGCTTTTATTTTGCTCAACAGGTGCGGCTCCACTTTGATTTTACTCAACTTCTGCGTGTTCCTCTTGGCAAAGCTGCAGGTCAAAGTTATAATAGCTTTTTAACTGCCAGTTAAATATTTTAGAGTTGCCAACTTGGAAAAAAAGACACGAACTGACAGCTAAACAGGAATTTTAGATATAAAAAATAAACAAATTTTTTTTGTGGAGTATGTTTGAGATGAAGCTCAACTATATTTTAGGTGAGGTTCAAGGTCCAGTTCATGATTATAATATAATAGCCTTTTAACTGGCTGTTAAATATTTAAGAGTTGCCACCTTGCAAAAATACATGAACTAACGAAAATTTTAGATATTATTATAAAAAAATATATATTATTTTTAGATATTATAGAGAATGTTTGAGATGAAGCTCAACTACATTTAATGTGCGGTTCAAGGTCCGGTGCATGGTAATAATTAAAATGGGAATTTCAGCTTTAAGGCCTCATTTTTAAAAGTGATTTTCCAAAAATATCAGAATTAAGTACTTCATTTAGAAATATTGAAGATAACAATTAATGATATATATATCCAAATGGAATTTTTCTTATTTTTACCCTTATAGAGGGTATTGTAATTACTTCATATAATGTGCAACGCATAGACGGAGACATCTTCTACCCCATAATATATATTTTTCCTTTATCTGTATCAACAGCCGAGTCTGTCCATCTTGACTAGTCTTTAAGTTTTGCATAGGCTGAAGTACATATGTCGGAACCGGGAGGATCGGACCACTGCATCATATAGTTGACACAGGAACGATCGGTTGAAATTTAAAAGTTTTTTTGGACTAGTAAACCACCTATTAAAATTATGCCAAGTAAATCTATAGGTCGAAGAATGAGATTTTTTATGAACATGGAAAAACATGAAGAACATATCGGAAATTTACATAGTTAAAAGAAAAGTGGACTTAGCAGTGGAAAAATGTCTATTAAAAAACTCAAGATTTTATTTTTTTTATTTTGCTTTGGTTACTTCAAAGTAACTCAGATTTAAGAACGGATACGAATCCTACAATCTTAGAAACTAAGGAGTGATTAATTTCGCGAAATTCCCTTTGTTGTTTCTTTTAGAATGTGGCATCGATGGCGCCCTGTCCGTATCGGAGTTGACCACAACTCAAGCGCCGAAGGACAATCGCACACAGCACACGCAAGTGGAGACGCACAAGGATCTGGCGACGGCATCGACGGGCATCATTGGCAATCTGGAGCTGCTGCGCCGCCTGAGCGGCAAGCAGTTCCAAAGCTATACCACAGCATTGATAGCCACCGTGGCCGTTGGCTGTTTCCTGCTCATACTCAATGTGCTGATCTTTGCGGGCATCTATCATCAGCGGGAGAAACGGGCGCGCGATGCCAAAACCAAGGAGGAGCTGCAGGATAGCGATACCAGCAAAAACTCGAGCATACTGAAGCTCAATGCCGCCGGATCCGGCGATGCGGCGATGGGCAGTGATGCATACACGCTGAGCGGCGCCGTGGTGGACACCAAGGGCGGCATGGGCATGGTCTTTGGCGAGTACAGCTGCTACGATGAGAAGACAAAGCAGCTGAAGGAGGAGCAGCTGCTGGTGGAGCTACCGCCGCACCCGCACCCGCACCCGGCGCAAACAACACTTCTGATGGACAACTGGGAGGCGTGCTCGACCAGCACGCTGGATCTGCTCAAGACGCGGCCAGCCGCGGCACAGCCGACCACCGGCCCCCACATCGAAATGGTCAGCTACAATGCGCTGCCGGCGATGGTCGAAACAAATCCGGCGCAATCAGGCAGCAAGCGCGGCTCCTTTCTGGACACCAGCGGGCAGCTGCAGTTCGATTACGCGGTCCAGTCGTCGGATCAAATGTCCTTCAAGGCCATCGAGGAGGCGGTCAAGGCAGCGGCCAGCGGCGATTCGGACATCATGCGAGACGATGATATACCAGAACCGCCGCCACCGCCGCGTTCCTTTCTAGCTGCCCAGCAGCAGCAGCAGCAAATGGGCATCCTGCGACAGGCGGGGGCTGCGGGCGGCGCCAGCAGCTCCGGCAGCGGCAAGAAACGTGTACATATTCAGGAAATCTCTGTCTAATCAGCTGTGGCTCTCAACTAAGCTTATGGAATTTCAATCTAACTCGCAAGCGCTCCAAGTGCTTGAACCTACCCGCTTTAACTATACTTTCCATAACCCATCTACGACTTTCTCCCGTACTCAAAAAAGGATTTAGACTAAATCTAAAAGATTCGCCACAATATGAAAAATGGTCTTTATTTTAGAAAGTTTTCTTGTTTCGAAGAAAAATAAACTAATTAGAAAAACATTTTTTAAATACAAAAAACTTTACTAAAATTAGATGTTTCTCATTTTGGGACGAGTTTTTTGAAAATTTAGAAAACAACTTTTTTGAGTGTCGAAACTTTTCTTAATTAGTTCTTACTTCGACGTAGTTGTTTCCAAAAATTTGTTAAGAATATGTGTATTTGTGTACTTATTGTCTGTTTGTACATTATGTAAATGTTCCTTGTAGTCGAGTCGCGTGCATAAACTAATCAGAATATGTAGGCCTCATCAACTATATATATATATATATATATATTGATATTATATCGTATTGAGATTGTTTTCTATATGTGTGTGTATAGTTTATATTTATTTGACGTACGGTTAAGTATTTCATATTTTATTATTACACATTTGCTTGTTATGTATTTGATAAATAGCGAAATCAAAAATAAATAAATTAAAGTAAATATATGTACAAGTAACAAGCTTTTAAATGATTATAACTAAATACCATATACACATATTTATAATACACATAATGTATTTACGAGTAATTGTATTGTAAAATATTGAATCTATTTGTATGAAAAACACATGTAATAAAATATACTTATGTATACTGGGCATTTTTATGATATTGAAAAAAACCCAACAATTTTTACTTATTCGACTAACAAAACCAGCTAGACTACAAAGTCTTAGCCTTAACCAGTTGCGAATTATTAACATAGTGTAAAAATCATTTATGATTTATTGCCTTTTTCTCTTAATTGAACTTGACAAATTTTTATATTAAACAATTCATCTATAAATTTAGAATGCATGTTGTAGATTGTAGCCGGGTATATACAATTCTCAGACTAGGAAACTATTGTCCCAAGGATTGGATTGCCGGTTTTATCAGCATAGCGACAAGCCTTGATCAGACGCAGTGCCTCACCCACAGAACGCGTCACAAACAGATCTGATGGTCGCCTGGCGTATAATACCGCTGGGATCGATGATGAAATGGGTGCGAAGGCTGTGACCCAGCTTGGGCATATAAACACCTAAGTCCTCACTTTTCTTGTGCGTCAAATCTGACAGGAATGGTATCCTTATATTACCCAGACCGCTGATCCTTTTGCGGAGGACGAGTCAACGCTGCAGGCAATAGCCAAAGCATTCTGTTTTCGGAACTCATCCAGACGTTCCAAAATTGCTGATACTTCTATGGGACAAACCGAGAAGAAGCGAAGGGGATACAAAAGTAGTTAAACGTATTTGCCAGCGTATTAGGGAAGTGAGATTGTGACAAGTTTCTTGTTAACCACAGCTGTTCTTTCAAAATACGGCGCCTTGTGTTGGTATTGTTTCTGCCTGTAGTGCTTGCATTCTATTGCGCTGGAGAACTCCAGTTCCCATTAGTATGTGAATGAGCAGCAGGGCCAGCAATGAGACTGTCTTGCATCCAATCTGTTTTTATAGACGACTCCAAATGGGGCTATGCAATCATTTCGGCTTTACATCTTTGGGTTTAATATGCTGTTCACTTCGATGCCATTGGGCAGCTAATTTTAAGATTTGGGATTGGAGTTGTTAACTATTAAACATATTTACAGTTTGTATTTGTAAAACTCAACGTGCTAGATTCTAAATTGTTGCTCATATCATATCTTAAATGTAATTTGTACCAATACGCAGAATTTTGTTAGGTCTACACGGGCTCTGATTTTATTTTTTTGATCTTTTTCAATTTTTCCACAACTTTGTCAGCTTCTGCCGTTTGCTTACGCTTTTGGGCCTTTTTCTTTGGCGCCGGCGTATCGACTTCTATGCTGGGCTCCATTTTGATTAGTTCTACCAGAGCATCTAGCTCCACGTGGGTTTCCGTATGCTCGGGTTCCTCGTCCTCTTCAAATTTGATGGTTTTGTTCTGGTAAAGCATTAGAGTTAAGACTTGTCTACAGACTTGCAGGTATGGATTTCTGGACTTACCAAAGGATCGGTCTCCTCAAGCAACAGTTCGCCCTCAATAAAGGGCATGACATTAGCTATGTTAAAGTCCTTGATTCGGAACTTGATTTCCTGATCCATGACAATGCCCTCTCTGCTTTGCTTCTTATTCGTAAATCGAATGGTTGTGTTGAACACTCTGTAGATGATGACACTGATTTGATGCTTGGATATGTGCCGGACAACGCCATGGAGCACCGCACCCGCCACTGGCCTGAACACATAGAAGTCGGCATTAATAAGCAAGTGCATGATGGGATCATCGGCGCGTAACGCTGCCGTTTGACCTAGCACCTTGATGTTCTTGATGCCCAGCACAATTCCATTCACGTTGGCATCGTATATGCCCACCTTGGTGCGGACGAGCAGCTCATGCAGCGCATGCTTGAAGTTAGCCATGCCGTATGCACCCATGCCCAGGTGCAGGTCTGTTTTAACACAACGCACGCACGATTCCGGGTTGGCGGCATACTCTTCCAGCTCTGAAGTGGAAAACTTTATGTATTTCTGAAGTATTTTGGCCATTCTGTTTAAATATTGGCTGAAGCACTGGTAACCACATGAGTTTCTGGTGTTGCTCAATAAAGTATTTGCCCCGCCACTGGGACTGTGTCAACCCTACACGTTGCACATCTCAAAATAAAAAACAATCGAATCCAACACTTCCCGATTACAACTAATAGATATATAGAAAATATATCGATAGCTCTGCATACTGACGCATTGCGTTTTTAGGGGTTGTTATGTTCAAACACAGGAAATGATCGGGAATGTGGTAGAACTGCGGAGAACAATGTAATTATCATATGAAATGTTTTTGAATTGAATAGGATTCGTTGGAACGTTCTCTTCCTTTGTAGAACATCTGAGAACAATTAAAACAAAATAGATATGCCATTTAAGTGGATAGCATTCGTTTTATTCGCGAATGGAATGTTCTTAAAAATGTTCGCCTTCAATTTAACATAATAAATAGTTTAATTACGAAAACAATACATACTATTTTACAGTTATAACTCAAAATATATACAAAAATGTTGGGGTTTTTAAAAAAAATTAAGATTAAAGGCAATACCTTATTACGCGTCTTTTTTATTCAAGAAATTTCACTGAGTTGAGAAATATAGATATAGCATTCATCCGGTGTTTTCTTTTTTTTTTGTTGATAGAATAGGAACAGAACCCTCAACGATATTGAGGCGTTTGCAAATCGAAATTGGCAACAACTTATAGCTATGATACATGCTTAAATTAACAAGAATGTGAGCTTAGTTCACGTTGAATGCGGAAGAGTTTAGTGCCGGCGTATAGCTGAATTTTGTATATTGTCAAACGTTGGTAATGACATTCTTGTTTCGATCACCCAGATTATTAAATTTTGCATGCGACACAAACGGAGTGCGCATGCGCCGCGTGAAGGAGCGCAGACAGCGTTGACCGTCCAGGGGTTCCGGTGTGTTTGCAGCCGCTAGCATGGACACTACAATGGGAGGCGACACCAAATTAGATATTATGACTATATAGAGATTGCCTGTACACACTCACCACGTTGTTCGAGCAGTTTAATTTGTTTCTTTGCCTCCCTTAACTTGTTCATTAGTATCTCGTTCTTGCGCTTCTCCACCGTCAGCTCCAGTCCTAGCTGCAATTTACTCTTGGAGTCGACTGCGCTCAGAATTCTGTCGGCATGAATAAACCAAATTTAGCATATAATCAATACATATTATTTATAAATTTGTACTTACGGATGACTATAGATGGACATGGAGCTAGGCCTCTCGTTGGGCTCTGGATGCATCATTTGCGCAATCAGCTCGTTGAAGTCCTTGCTTAGCGTTGGAATAGCAGGCACCTCGCCGTTGCGCAGCTTGTGCCACTCGGGTCCGTTCTTTGGCAGCGGTCCACCACCGGCGACCTCAAAGAGCGTAATGCCCAGCGAGAAAATGTCGGCCTTGAACAGATTGCTATAGTCTTCCTGCAGTATTTCCTTGGGCAAGTAACGACAATCGCCCTCCTCAACATGCGGTTCGTTCACAGACGTCACATGCCCCAAGTCACCAATTTTGTACGTGACGAGATTCTCGGAGCTGCGCAATTCCTCATATACGCTATCCATGCCATCATCGTCTCTGCCGCCCTGCTGCTGTGCGGCGCTGCCCAGTTTGTGTGCCGTGGGATTCATTGTGGAAAAGATATTCTCCGGCTTGATGTCCATGTGCACCAAATCATTGGAATGTATGTAGCGCAAGCCTTCGATCACATGCATTAGCAATATCTTTAGCTCGGATTCGCCCAGGCAGTGCTCCTGGATGCGCGCATGGAGGCTGCCGCCATCACAAAATTCATTTTGTATTAACATATGATCGTCCTCCGCCCAGGCCGAATAGTAGCGCACCACATTATCGTGCTTGCCCAGCACCGCATGCGCCCAGACCTCGTTCAACGCACGCTTTCTAGAGAATCAGGATTTTAGTAAGAAGTATTTGGGATTGGGATTCGGGGCAACTTACTCGAATGAACTGCCTGCTACGGGCTTTTTGCTCTTCTTAATTGCATAGATGCAACCATCCAGCCGGTTAACGCACTGAAAGACGACTCCAAACTCACCCACACCAATTACGCTGACCTGCATGAACTCGCGCTTGAAGCGACTGATGTTTGTGTCATGCAACGCCAAACGTTTGGGCGCCTGCTGAAGTATCTCCCGCGTGGGATCGATGCCGTTCGTCTCCTGTGTGCCATCCTCGTCAGCGGGATCGCTGAGTAGAAACCTCTGCATGGCGCTCACATTGAGATTCTCACGTCCGAATTGAGTGCGACAACGCTTCTTGTTGTGCGCCATCAGACCTGAAGGGAAGACATTTGTATATGGATTAGAGTCGAATGTGGATACTCTTTTGCCATATGTCCTGTACACTACTGAGTCGATCTTTATGAACTAATGTATATACGTTTGGCACTCACTGTCTGGTGTGAAGGGATTTACATTGGCCGTGTCCTGTGGTTGCATGCTTCTGTGATTATGCAGAGGAAGCGAGCGTGGACGTTCTATCAACTTATATACTTCCTCGCGTCTGGTGGCATTCACCGCTGCGGCGGCGGCTGATAGGTGATTGCTGCAGTTGGTCGTTGACTTTTGCAGTATGGTTTTTGGCGTTGCTGGTGTGTTGAAAAGACGGAGTGCGCGTACTTTTTGGCATGGTGGGGACATGTCCATGTCTCGCGCGGCATCGTTCGGTTTCTTTTTGTGTTGCGGACTTTCCTGTCGATCCTTGTCAAAATCGTCGTCGGCGAAGCGCAATTTGCGTGGATTAAATACAAGCGGCGATGGGGAGCGCGAACGCATCTCGACGCTAGAGTCGAGTTGCTCGAGCGAAGTGTCGTCCGCACTGATGACGCTCGTTTCGTGCTTGGACAAGCGAAAAGCCATTGCCATTGCAATTACAAGAGTACGATTGCCACACACTTCACCAAATTGCTGAACTGAACTTTTTATTGATCGCTTTGAAATATTTATCAAGTTCAAAAAATAAACAAAACAAAAACACGAAACAGTATTAAGTGTAGGAATGCGAAGCGCAATTGATCTTATATCGATATATGCGTGTATCGATTACTGTGTGATAGTGCCGGTACGAATTCTTCGCGTTATTAAATATATCGATATTTTTATATCGGCATCAAGACGCACAGGGTTTCTTTGACTGATATTTGGCAGCATTGGAATTTTTTCGAATTTTTGTTATTAACCGAAAGATCTTCGAATACGTGCAGATACGACTCTCAACGAAACATTTTATTTTATGAAATGTGGAAAAAGTCAAGCAACCCAACATTTAAGAATCTCCATCGGCTTAGTTTTTTTAATAAGAGACCGATGCTAAGAATCGTGAAAATAAAGCCCGATTTCATATAATCTTTTATGAAATATAACTTAAAAACCGGGTTAAATGTCTCAAGAGACCACAAATGTAGTCCAAAAATAATGCCAAGCTTTCAAACCGACGGGTATTCATATAATCCACATCGTCTGAAATACAGATTTCCCGCCATAGATTTAAAAAGCAGCCAATTTTTTTTGGCATTTGATTTATTGATTGAATATTAATGTATTGTAGGTTCTCTACGCATCTGCTACATACAAATACGCATTTCAAAAAATTCATACATTATTATTATAATACTTAACTATGACGTAATGTATGAGAAATCTGAATTTGCAATAATTTTGCTTAATTAATATGAATATTTTTAAAAAACACCTTACAAACTTGAAGTGAAATATCGTTTTGGGCATTCTGTATTCAAGGTTAAAAGGTTCAGTGATAAGTTACATCATAAAATTGACATGAGGATAGAATTTCAGTTGTCCAAGTGAAATATTCATATTCCTACAAAGATTCAAGCTGCCCTTTAATTTTTTCTTTTCTTTATCTTTTTTGTTTTTTTGAATACAAAACATTCTTAGCCTGATATATGTGTCTATATAATTTATGTACGTATTTAATATATGTATATGAAAAAGCAAAAACATGTTTGTTCGCGACGGATAAACATAAATGTAATCTGCAGCATGACTAGATCGACTTTCGATCTGTTGTTTTTAATTTTTTTAATTTGTAATTTCCTGTAATGATATGGACACAAAATAATCAAACGCACAATTTGTTCTGCATGGCGTTTATACACTAGAGTGCTTTGCTCAGTTGAATTGGGAATCGTGAGGAGATTAAAATAAGAGGAGGAGTATATGTATGCATTTATATTAAACTATAGATTATATTCTAAGCTAAGAATGTGGGCAACTAAATGATTAACTGCCTGACGAACATATTAATGTAATTTGGGTGCTTGGGTGCTTGGGTGTTGGTTTCAGGAATGAAGGAGCAGGTTGAGCCCTATTGTAAATGGCCAAATTCAGAATCCTTGCAACGCTAATCCCTGGACATGGAGCGCGATACGGATGAATCGCCACGACGCCTCAACGGTGAACCACGACGTGGTGGAGACGGCGATCGTGAGCCCCTATCTCTGTCATCATCATCATCATCGTATCGTCGCTTCACTGGCGGCGGCGAATCGACCACGCCGCTGCCATTGCGCTCCTGGTCACTATAGCGTGATACCGAACCGTTCTCATCCCGTCCATTCTCACGAGATCGTCCGGTGCGGCGACCCACCGAGCCAGCTGAGCGGCTGCGCGAACGAGTGCCAGATTTGGAACGAGTGCGACGGCGTCTCGATGTGCTGCGCGATCTGCTCAACGAGTTGCTTCTGCAAGAGATTGGAAAAAAGATTGGAAAGATTTTAAAAATCTATATGCAACAGGTAAACTTATAATTAAAAGAATTTGTAATAGGAAAAACCTGATATAAAACAAACAAAATGCATTTACAAAATTCGTTGAGTTTATTTATTTTAATTCAATGACTGAAACTACGTTTCAGATATATTTTAAGAATACATTGAAGCAAATTTTATATAAGTACTTTTCAACTAAGTTCCAATTTAATTTCAATGTTTTGTCTGCCCGCTTTGAAATATTGACTTTCAGTTGGGAATATAAAGTGCGAGATTTTCATATCTTTAAGGAATTTTATTGATCAGCTTTATAACAAACACACATACTGAATATATACATATAAATTGCATGTGGGCATCGTTTAACCGTGTTTTTTGCCACTCTTTTTGTGGTGCTTGTGGCCGTGTTGCTTTTCGCCCTTCTTGCCATGCTCCTCCTTCTCCTCGAAGCTGTCGCCGTATTTGTGCTCCTTTTTGTATTTCTTATGATCCTCGTCGTGATGGCCCTTCTTGTAGTGTCCCTCGTTCTTCTTGTGTCCCTTCTTTTTGCCGCTATCGTGCTTTTCGCCCTTCTTGTGCTCGCCGTGATCCTCCTCGTGATGCTTGTGCTCCTTGCCGTATTTCTTGTGATGGCCGCCCTTGTGCTCGTCATCGTAGAACTTCTTCTCCTTGTAGTACTCATCCTTATTGAACTTCTTGTGGTACTCCATCTCTTTGTGGCCCTTCTTGTGCTTCTTCTTTTGATGATGCTTGCCGCCCTTCTTGTGAGCGCCGTGCTCGTGCTTCTCCCCATACTCATCCTTCTCAGCGTGTTCTTTTTTCTTCTTTTCGCCCTTGTCGCCATGATGATGCTCGTGATCCTCCTCTTCGTGATGTTTCTTTTCCTCCTCGTCCCACTCCTTGTGCTCCTTGTGGCCATGCTCGCCTTTGTGCTCCTCATCGCCATATTTCTTCTTCTCATGCTTTTCGCCACCCTCTTCCTCCTCCTCGGAGGACGCCTCCTTCTTTTTGGCCGCCGCGTATGTGAGCAACAGGCCCAAGACCAACAGCAACTTCAGCTGTCCCCTCATTCTGTCTAACTGAGCGCTCTGGTCAGGCATCTTGTGCGCTTTTATATTGGCTACACACTGGACCAACTCACCGCAAAGTCCGCAGACCCGACTCGAGTGATGCAAGACATCTTTTTGGACTGGCGACTGATGTAAATTTTCTGCTTGATCGCGCATTTAAACACTTTTTTTGGCTTTAGGTTGTAATCGAACTTTTATCCAATATACAGTGGGCCACAAAGCTGGCATTGCAATAACATAAATTAGCTTTGCTTAGTTTTAACTAGTGAAATTCAAATATCTTAAGTTTATTTTAATTATTTCATTATAAATTACCTCGAAAGGTAATCGAAGTATCCTCATATTTTGATAATTCTAATAAATAATTGTCCCTATATAATGACAATAATAAATGAAGCTGGACTTAGCTTGTTAGAAGTACAGTGAAGCTTGTTATTATCCAGTTTGGTAAGAATACCCCAAGATATCTTGAGATATAAATAAGGTGGTTTTCAAATAAGTATTTAAAATTTAACAGAATGTTCATAGGAACATAGGTCAGCAATCATATAGTTGGTGATAGAGCTTAGGGAGAATATCATTGAAAACAGAAGGAATAATTTGTAGAAACAGGCAGGAAGATAAAGTTGACAATAACTCAGCGCGTCATGCTGATCAGGAGGAGTATATATACACTTAATGGGAACGAAATACTATTATACATTCCTTGACAAAAAAAATGTAAGGGCTTTCAACGACATAAGAAATAGTTATCAGACCAAGGACTGCAAACCCATAAAGCAATTGGTTTTGCAGTTCAAACTCGTTGTCTGGAGACTGTTCTGGCTTTTCACATTCCCGAAGCCAGTTTGTCTCGTTAAAGGTTTCCGTTTATGATTTAAATAGAATACATTTTAAATTAATATATGCCCGCTGTACTGAAAATATTTGAAACTATAAATATTTTCATATACAAGATGCAGGCTACATTTGATCGCAGCCCAAAAATGGCATTTATCAAACATGCTTCGATAAATGCAATGATTGGGGCCTAAGTTATTTATATAATGGGACTGGGTCTCGCTTTAAAGCATGTTGAAGTTAGGAGGCTTGAATCCAAAACCCTTTTTTTGTTACGCCATTTTGTTCGGGTTTTAATACACAGTTGAATATTTGACATGCAAATTTGTAAAAATCGTTCATTTTAAGAAAGCTAAATATATTCAAAAATGGTTAATTGTTTTGTGTGGAAAAAGACTTCCATAAATCGGGATCGATCTTTTATCTGAACACAGTTCAAAATTCTATGATTAGTGTTAAAGAAATAAGTCAATTAAGTTAATTTTTGCCTTGAAAATTACATTTTTTATTTCTAATGTAGTAGACAACAAATAAAAGTGTAATCTTGACTGTAAAACTATATACTGCTAATAAGAACTATAAACCTAAGCACTATTAATAAGCCTGTACGTGCTTATTGTTCTTGATGTTTTGATTTCTTCTTTTTCTTTGGAGGCTGCGCTGGCGTTTCCTCTTCGGCCTCTGCTGGCGGCGCCTCGACTGCTTCGGATGTCTCTTCATCCTTTTGCTTCTTCTTCTTCTTCTTTTTCTTTTCAACTTTAGTTTCCGACTCGTCAGCGACAGCTTCCTCCTGTTCTTCCTCCTGCTCCTGTTTCACTGTTTCCTGTTTGACGGGCGTTTCAACTTCTGAATGTTTGCGTTTCTTCACATGCAACGTATTATCGGCCTCCGGCTGATACGTAAAGACCTCGCTAAAATGTAAATGTTATATGAGTACATGTGAACCGAGCTAAAAAGCTGGCCAACAAATTAGACAAGTTTGGAAACTCAATCAGACAGCCAAGGTTTATCGTCACTGTGGAATCAGCAAATTGCGAAACCTTTGTGGTATCATCATGTAGAGTTTTGACTTGAACTAAGATGGGGCAATTGGAGAGTAGAACCATAACACACCTCTTGGCCTGGTATTTCTCGAACTTGGCCTTGGCCTTGCCCGTGCCGGACAATTTGCGCAGATTGCCCTCCTCCAACAGGCGCAGTCGCGCTTCCAGCTTAACTTTGTGTATGGCGCCCAGCTCGAATGTGGCCTCCTCACCGAAGGCATCGACGCGCGTGGCCAGCGAGGCTTTTGCCGCCAGGGAACGCGACATTTTGCCCTTGTTCTTTTGACTCGCCTGGCCCACCAGCTGGGCATGATAGATAAGACCATATTTGGGCGTATCTTTCTTTGTTTTCAGCGCGCGGAAAAGAGCCTTCTCAGCGCCCAATATCTGCACCGTGGACGAGGGATGTTTGGCGAGATTAATCAGCGAGCCGGCGTGCGCAATGAGACGAGCGCCAACCGTGTCGCCAACCAGGACTGTCAAATTGGGCGCCATTGCCATCATACGCGCCTTAAGGTAGTCATAGAGATGCGTCCGGTAGTCGCTGATGGAAGTGATCTCATCACACAAGCATTGGATGTTAAGCACATCCTCATCGCTGATTTCGGTACCCATGGAAATTTCGGCCGCCTCCTTGACCTGCTGCTCCACGTCCTCGGGCAGAATGTCAGACAAGTCCGTTGCAGCCATATTGTCCCTGGTGCCCACCAGTTTGATCGTCTTGACAAAAGCAATATTGTCTGTGATCAGCTTGCCCAGCTCTGGGAAGTGCCAGCCATACCACTCGCGGGCGCGCATCACATAATTGTTTAGCTCCTTATCGAGGTCATCGAGCAGGCACTGCGCCTGCACAATCATTGTGTCAATCTTGTCCGGCGAGAACTTCAGTTTGTAGCGGGACAGCGAATGTGCCAATCCCAAGGCCATGGCGGTCATCTCGCGCTTGGGCAGACCACCCAGCAAGCTGTCTGCCTGCTGGCGTATGCATCGCATTAGCTCCTGTACGCCCGTATTATATACACACTGCACCGCCAGCTTATCCTTGATGGCTGTACCCAGTTTGGCATCGGCCACCAGCAGGGATGCCTGTACGTCGTCGACGAGCAGCTTTTTTAGCGTCTTCTTCAGCGGCTTTGACACTTTGCCTTCAACAGCAGCTGTGGCAGCAGCCAGCGCTTCTGTGGTATCATTGAATTTTTCAAAATGCTTCAATTTCAGCAATTTGTTGGCCTTTTCGGGAGTCTCAAACTCCAGGTACAAATTATCGACCTGCTCAAGTTTTTTTTCATCGAGCAATTTGAAAATTGCGTAGCCCGCCGGCGTTTCATATAACACAAACATTGTGCACGTTAAAATGCATCAATTTAAGTCAAAAATATTTTTTGTCGCGCAACAAACACGGACTTAACCTTCTTCAGTCTAACGCCGCGTGTAAAAGAAAAATCCAAAATGAGGCCCACAAACACGTGCGTGTGCTTGTGTCAGTGTTGCTCTTGCATAAGAAAATAACGATAACCAACGCAGCTATCGATAAATTCTACCAATTATTGTATCGCGGGATACTGCATATCTGAAGAGTTGAACCTTGCGGTTTTTATTTACAAACAGAATAGGTTATCTATTTTTCACTTCATATCACGAATTAGTGAACCTATATAGGCGTTATTTATAAAACATTAAATATACGATAGTTTCGACCATCACCTTGGCGAACTATTGTACTGAATAATTCGCGCGCATTTTTTACATCAGGGTGTGTACGCACTCGCGGTAATTCAACACAACGAAACTCCCCACGCTCAAAACAATTTTAAATTTGATATGCAAATTCCATGCACATACATGCATATGTATGTGTGTGTATACGTATGCATGCAACACAAAATTATGAATGAAGTTGCTCACTAACCTGCGTCGTTGTCTAGCCTTGCGCTCGCGGCAATGGCGCGCAAAATGACCACGCATGCCGCATTCATAGCATTTATCGTCGCTACGACCGCCGCCTCGGTCACGTCCTCCTCCAAAACCACCACCACCACCACCGCCGCCACCGCCTCCTCCACCGCTGCCGCCGCCACCACCACCACCCGAACGAGCGTATTTTCCTGTGGACAGCTCGACACGAGCTCTGCGGCCACACAATGTTCGGCCGTCCAGGCCACGCACTGCATCAGCTGCATCTCTGGCGCTCTCGAACTCTACAAATGCGAAACCTGGCGGATTGCGTGCAATCCAAACACTGCGCAAACTTCCATAGGCACCAAATACATACTCCAAATCGTTCTTTCGTGCGTTATTGCCCAAATCGCCAACATACACTTTCCGGTCGCTAGGATGCCGCGACATTTTCTAGCTTGGGTTTGTTGGTTGGGCGCTATGAAAATCGCAAGCAGCGCAGAAAAAATCGATTTGAGTGCAAAAGTTTCGCGTTTGTTGCCCTTGTCAAAACTGCATTCGGTTAATCAAAATGATGATAGCTTCTCATTACTTGATGTATATATCTTTGACTTTTTGTTATTTAGGCACTATATTTATTTCGGCAAAACTGTTTTTGCCGACTCGCACAATGGTTAGGTGAGTGAACCAAACAGAGTTGCTCACTAAATGAACAACTGGTTTAAAAGTTCTTTTCTGTTCGATGCAAAAAAAATATGTAAACAATAATTGAACCAGTCCCCAATTAGTGTGACCATAACCATCATAGATAATTGCTTTCTAGTGAGGTGAGTTTTCCTTACTATCGATACTTCGTAGCCGATCAACTTATTGTTTCGCATTTGATGATTTTTCTTTAAGCCCATTTTCTTTATAGGTTAAAATTAGTAACCGGATTTTCATCGACATAGATTTTTCAAATGCACCATTATTTGGTTAATTGTAAATGCACCTGAATCATAAGAAAGTTATCAGGGCTGCAAGCGCAACTTTAAGCCAGCAAAGATAATTATTTCGATCACTCCAAATATTGTATCTTTTCATCGGGTTTGATTGTGCAAAGCCTGTTAAATATACAAAGCTATGTGCACTTGCATCCCTGACGCCTTGATTGATGCCTGAAAAATACAACCGTGCACTACCGATTACAAGAGTGTCGCGGTGAATTGTGAATGGCTACCACCATTAAACGTGGCGGTGGCGAGTTTTCTATCATAAGTTAGGTTATATATCGTATGCATCAAATCATACAATTATTTATAAGCTAGTTTTTTAAGGAAAAAACACTTAAATTTAGTGAATTTGCAGTGCGAAATCTTTAAAAAACCACAGACGAACACTTGGCACAAACGGTAAGCATAAGCAACAATGCAAATATAAATTTTACATAACGAACTTGATGCTTAAAAAAAAGCGAAGTCTGCCTGCCTTTCCAAAATTAAATGTGCGATAGCAGCAGCTGCCTGGTGTACAAAACAGATTTGATATGTGCATTTTTGACACCACTAACACTGAAGAAATGTTTTGCATCCGATGTTAAGATGCTTATTTATGCCTGCTTATGGCCATTAAAATATTTTAGTTTTCATTTTCCTATTATAGTGGAAAATTTCATATTTTTATACATACAAAAAATGCTATGTATAACAGCATACTAACACATACATACACACAAGATACATCGGCCATTCGCATACACACACATTAATACAAAACTCACACATAGACACGTGTGCTTGTAAGCGTAGTTGCGTATGTATGTATAAAAGATTGCGGTGCAAAATACAAAAATCATGCGAAATTTTAAAATTGCGTAGTAAGAAAATGAACTAGTTTATCCGAACTTTGAAAATGTGCAAAATGCTAGTGTAAATGTGCGCGGCTTCCGCCGGTCAAAAGGGTGCTACTAGTGCACAAAGTTTAAAAAAAGCAAAAATACCATAAAAAGTTTATGTGGCAAAGTTTCTCTTCAATTCATATTACTCGTGTTTGCGTTTTACAAATTGAGTTCTTCAGATTTCTTTGTTGAAGCATTTTTGTCGTCATCGACGAGTCTTCCATTTTGTTTTTTATTTTGCTGCCGTCGCGCCGCCACCGTCGCTGCTTCTGCTCGTGGTGAATTTCTCGCATTTCATGCAATTCACTGTGTTTGTTTTGAGTTCTTGCAATTATCCATAACTGACGCGCAACAAATAGTATAAATTGTAAAACTTCTAAACGTGTTAGTTCTAAAATTTGTGATTTGTGTTGATTCACGTATATTTGTTCATATGTACATTTGGAGGGCATTGCTTTTCGCATATTTCTTTTCATTTTACATTCGCTTTCACATAGCACATGGCGTTGCCACATGGTTTTCTTTGCAAACGTACGCATGTAGCTACAGTCCCGCAAGCGCCGTAATAATTTACGCATAATTTGTTGTCTTTAAATTATATCTTGCATATAATCTTTAAATGTATGGGAATAAAACAATTCTTTAAATTTAAGTAGAGCATACATATGTGCAGTCGTTGTTCCGGTTACCCCAAAAACCGTCTGGCAATATACAACAAATGGCGCGCAAATGTGGTGAACCGGCACTTTGCTTTCTGCTTGCCCTTCCGTCCGACATTCTGTTTTCACCATTTTTACCTTGGGAAAAAAGTTCGTTGTTCTCACGACTCTTCAATAGGCACTTGTGGTGTGTGTGTAGGTGTGTGTGAAATGAATGACGCTGTGGCTGGGACATCGCTACGCCAACAACGTTAGCGCATGTTGTTACACAGCGAAAAGAAAACGTTAATAAAAACTCGTAGCAGAGTGTAAAAAATACAAAACGGCAATCAACGACCAGCGCGGCTTAAGACCACAAGAGCAAGCAGAGCGTTGCAAACACCGAACAACTTGTGAACGTGTAGAAAAAGCTGTTAGACGGCAAGAGTAGACCTATGCATTCATACAACATATGTATGTATGTATGCGTACCGGCCGGTTGCTGTCCGCAGCGCTGCTTACCTGCCTTTCATAATTATTTGTGCCTATTTCGGCTGCTTTCTGTACATATACATACATATGGTACATAAGTGTATGTGCGTGCGTGTGTGTATCTCTCTCTGTGTTTTATTGCTGTCATCCGTTCTCTCGTCCAATGTGGCCAGAGTTAGTTAAGATTTACTTTTAACTGTTGATATTTCTTTTTACTGATCTGATGATTTGCATTTTTTCTTTACGCATAAAATATTTTTCATGACTTCCGCTACAACCGACACACCTGGACATCTTTAATAATAATTAGAAAGTTACGTGTAAACGTCGTGGCTTTTGTTTAATTATTTTGAAAAATAATAAAAATAAAAAAAAAATAAAAATAAAAAACTTTGGCAACTAAAACCAATCCCAAAACACAAGAAACAACAACAGCAACTAGTGTAAAATTCAAAGTGTAAACAAGAAGCGACAAAAACACAAAACAGACACCGATAACAAATTCAAGTCCACAAGTGCAACATAAACAGCAGCAAAATTACGTCAATTATTGAAAATCTACCCGGCGCAATAGCTCACAATCACCAAAACAACATCATGGAAGAAGACGAGAGGGGCAAACTGTTCGTTGGCGGCCTGTCCTGGGAGACAACGCAGGAGAATCTCTCTCGCTACTTTTGCCGCTTCGGCGACATTATTGATTGTGTCGTTATGAAGAATAACGAGAGCGGCAGATCACGTGGATTCGGCTTTGTCACCTTCGCCGATCCCGCTAACGTCAACCATGTGCTGCAGAGTGGACCGCATACGCTCGACGGTCGTACCATCGACCCGAAGCCCTGCAATCCCCGTACGCTGCAGAAGCCGAAAAAGGGCGGCGGCTACAAGGTGTTCCTCGGCGGTTTGCCATCGAACGTGACAGAGACCGATCTGCGCACCTTCTTTGGTCGCTACGGCAAGGTCACCGAGGTGGTCATCATGTACGACCAGGAGAAGAAGAAATCACGTGGATTTGGTTTCTTGTCCTTTGAGGAGGAATCCTCTGTGGAGCACGTTACCAACGAGCGTTACATTAATCTAAATGGCAAGCAGGTGCGTAAAAGCCGTCCCAAAAATAAATATTTAATAATTTAACATTTAAATCGAATTCAAAATAAAACGAAAATTATAGTTAGGTACCAAAGAAAAAAAGAGGTTGTTATATGAAAATCAATCCCTTTTTTGTTTGTAACTTACGACAAATAATACAATGAAGGAAGGATCAATGAAAATGTCTGTCTGTGGTGTTCAGCTTTTTCCAATTTTAAAAATGTTTTATGCGTAGAAGAGTTCTTTAAGCATTGTTCATGATGAAACGACAACATATTTCTCATAAAACTGCTTAACATTTGGCATATTGCTTTGAATTCGAGCTATTTTTTCCCATGTTTTGACGTAGAAGCACGTTCAGTGTTATCAAAATAGATCGAGAACTGAAATACTACACAAAAAGAGAAGATCGATCCGCTGTATTGATTCAACATGTTCTGGAAAAGAATTTAAGTCGATAAAATTGCGTTCATATTAAGTGAAAATTGAATGAAAAGTTCAATAAAACAAATATATATTTTAATAAATCAACTAGTGAGTAAATTATCAAATATAATTTAAAATTATGCCTATACAATAATGTATAATATGTATACAAAACTATGATGAAGTATGTTTTAATATAACTTTGTGTATGTTTTGCAGGTGGAAATTAAGAAAGCGGAGCCACGCGATGGTTCTGGAGGACAGAACTCGAACAACAGTGCCGTGGGTGGTGCCTATGGCAAACTGGGTAACGAGTGCAGCCACTGGGGACCGCATCATGCGCCGATTAACATGATGCAAGGCCAGAACGGTCAGATGGGTGGCCCACCATTGAATATGCCAATTGGTGCACCAAACATGATGCCCGGTTATCAGGGCTGGGGCACCTCGCCTCAGCAGCAGGGCTATGGTTATGGCAATAGCGGTCCGGGCTCGTATCAGGGCTGGGGCGCACCACCTGGCCCCCAAGGACCACCACCGCAATGGTCGAACTATGCTGGACCACAGCAAACCCAAGGATATGGCGGCTACGATATGTACAACTCGACTTCGACCGGAGCCCCATCGGGACCTTCGGGCGGCGGTAGCTGGAACACGTGGAATATGCCACCAAATTCAGCTGGGCCAACTGGGGCACCAGGTGCTGGCGCTGGCACCGCCACGGACATGTATTCGCGTGCCCAGACCTGGGCAGCAGGCGGACCATCGACCACCGGACCCGTGGGCGGCATGCCGCGCACTGGACCAGGCAACTCGGCCTCCAAATCGGGCTCCGAGTACGATTATGGCGGCTATGGCTCCGGCTACGATTACGATTATAGCAATTATGTTAAGCAGGAGGGCGCCTCCAATTACGGCGCCGGCCCGCGGTCAGCGTACGGCAACGACAGCTCTACACAGCCACCGTATGCCGCATCGCAGGCCGTCTAAAAAGCCAGATCGTGCGTGTTGTCGTCTCGTGTCATCCCGCGCGGCCCCATGAGGTGAATGATGAAGAAAACAAAAAGATGGTGGTAATTGTAAGCTAAAGCGTCGTCTGTTCGTTTCATAATTTTTAAAAGATATTTTTTATTTGAGATCACTTGTTGAAATTAATTAATGTAACTCTTGTGTACACAACAAATAATTTAAAAGCATAATTTAACACACACACGCAAACAAACACAAACACGGAAATCAGCTTGAATGCAAATCCCTAGCGAAACAAGGCAGGTTTATAGACTAATATATATATATATATATATATAGATAGTATATGTATAAAAGGAAAATATATATGTATATATACGTTTATATATATGTATATATACATTCTATAGCAATGAGTATGTAAAAAATTTATAGGCAACAAAAACCACAGTCAAAACTCTCGACTCAGAGCAACAAGAACATTTTTCATACGCCCTCCCTTCCTCGTCAGACATATATATATATATATATATATATATATGTAAGTCCTACCTAACTAACAAGAACAACAACAATCCAACTAAAACCACATATACATGCATATTAAATACGAAAACAAAATAATAGAATTGTGAAGATTTAAAAGTATAAAGTTTAGCCAATTAGACACAAGAGAAAAGTGTACGAAATACCAACAAAAGAATAACATTAAAAAGGAATTATAAGAAATTATACTTTAAAAACAAAACAAACAAACATCCCTTAACTACTAAAATTAGTAAATACCAATTCGAAACTGTACATTTAAAGCGTAAAAACCCCACGACTAGTTGGCAACAAAAACATAAAAAAAAGAAGAAAAAAAAAGAAAGGAAACAATCGAAATGGAAAAGATAATCGTGCCACACCCACATGCCGCGCCCCCAGCTCGAATCAACTGCTGCAAACATTTGGCGACAAGGCTTAGCAGCCCACAGAGGAAAATGAATAATTTTCCACAACAACAGCAACAGAAACAACAATTCAGTTAAGAAAATGCTTGTCTTAGCCAATGTGTTAGCTGGAGTTTTCCGGGCTAGAGCCGGGGCCTGGCATGGACATCAACATATGTTTGGGTTGCTGGCGTTGATGAAGAACACGTTACAAAATTTATAAATTTACCATTTAAAAGTAAAGTAAACAACTAGCTAAAAGTTAAACTACATATATAAAGAAACCTAATTAATAAGCGTATGTCGTATGTCGTTTGCATGTAAGCGAAAGTTGAACTTGAAACTAGAATTATATAGTGTTGGAATTATTATTTAGTTAAAGAAACCAGATGAGAGAATCGCAAACAACCAGATACAAGATGATTTATGATGAAAATGCTATAAAAACAACAAAAAATCACAAAAAATACGAAACGCTCTAAACAAATATACATTTAACAAAGAAAAAAAAAACGGAAAAAGAATAAAAACAAAAACTATATACATACTTATATACATCTCTATATATATATAAATAATTATTTATATATATATATACATAATATACATAAATTTAAACAAAACAAAACGTAAACTTATACTACAGTTAAAGCAGAATAGAAAAGAAAAGTCATAAGAGAAAATAGTTAAAGAGAGAGAAAGAGGGATACAAAAAAAAAACAAAAAAAAAACGATGCTTAGAGTTGCGTTGCACATTTTTTAAATTTTCATCGTTTGCCAAGCAGACAACAACAACAACAACAATTAGAATGTGTGTGTTTGTGTGTGTGTGCGTGTGCGTGTGTACTCACAAACTGCAACACGCACCCACACACACACTCACGTACATACACACACGCGGAGGAGATGAACATGAGAATTGCACATTTTATTGATTATATACATACATATATATCTTTAATTACTTTATATATTATTTACTCTTAACTACATACATGATCATCTGAATGTGTTATGTAAACAAGAACAACAACAACAACAAAAAGTAAACTAATTTTTAAATAATGCGATTTTACAATTTATTATTACATATTACAAAAACCTTACGTACATATATGTATTTATATTTATATATATATATATATGTATATGCATATGCTTATATACGCTAATAGATACATTTATACACTTACATATAAATATGAATATGAAGTAATATTTTTTGCTATTACAACTACAAACTACAAAAACGTAATTTTTAATTTGTTGATTACGCGAACATTTACAATTACAATATACATACATACATACTACATACATACATATATACCTTACTTTATTTTTCGGTGATTTATTGCATAGTGTTTTTTTCGTCTAATTTTTACAAATCTACTTAGCAAGCAAATCCTACAATCATAAATTCCTAATTTAATTTCGTTTAAATTACAAATATACATATAAACATATGCTTAAATTTTTTATATAATTATACACTAAAAAAACAACAAACAAAACTAACGTAAAATACACAGTAAAAGTTAAAAAAAGAAAGATGAGAACAACAAAGTAAAGTGGAACGTATGAAAAACGTTTGAAAATTTTGAAAAAAAATACCAACAAAAAATTTGCTTTTGTTTTCCTTTAATTTAAATAATGCAGCTCTGCGCTGACCTTCGTGTGTGTGTTTGTGCGAGATTGTTTCTCTGTGTGTGTAAATTGTACATGTCTAATTGTATTGTTGTATAAACAAAAAAAAAACAACACTGCGCTTGGCCAGCAGGACGCACACGTGGCGTAGATGATGTTCACAGTAGAGCGAAAGAAGTTTCGATCCATTTCCGCTTGTAATTTTTTTTTTTGTAATTTCTGTGTTTTTTCCAGCAGGCAGCAAGAGAGCAACAACAACAACAACAGCAGCAGTTATGCAAGCAAAATGCTGCTATGCAACAACAACGTATCAGGCTTAACCTAGACATTTAACGGTTATATATACACATGCACACATGTGTATATATATATATATGAATATATATGTACGTGTGTTTGTAAAACATGCAAGAACAAGAACAGCAGACATCAACAATAAAACCAATTGAATGAAGTGAAATCGTGTTGGTCAAATGCAGTTAAGAAAAAAAACACCTGATGTAATTTTATAAGCAAGACCCTATTATTATTATTATTATGATTATGATAATTGCATACTTACATCTATATATCTACAAATATCTTTTGTTTATTACCAAACTCCTTTTTTTTGCATGCAGAAACAGTTAAAATAAAATTTAAAACAAAAAATAAAAAGTGATGTTTAACAATTTGAAATAAGTAATGCTATAATTAATAACTAATTCAAGGAAATACACATAAATAGTTAAAGCAAGAATTAAAGTAATGGAAAAATGTAAACGTAAAGCAAGAAAGAAAAAAACAAAAATTTAAAAAAAAAAAACACTGACTGTTAATTGTAAAACAAATTTCTTTTTTAATCCATACGATTTATGATTTAAAGTTAAACATTTTTAAAATAAAAACCTAATAAATGAACTACATATATATGCATCTAAACGTAATTACAACTACTATATACAATTATATATATAAATATATATTATATATACTTACATTAAATATATGCATAAATATATCAATTTAACAGTAAATGAAATAAATCTAAATATTGTACTAAAAAAAACAAAAAAAAAAACAAAAAAACAAAAACAAACATTGAAGTGTTGCACTTTCAACAAATGATAACTTTATGCAAAATTCACTTCAGAAAAAGATTAGAAAAAGAATACGTTAAGGCGTGGCATATTTATTATAAGGATATTGTTGTCCATATAAGAAAGAGGTTATGTCCGCGCATCCAGAGCATATAATATTGGATCTGTTTGTTTATATTTTTGTCTTCGCATTTCTGTTTTGATGTCATTTCGTGTATTTGATTTTGTTTTTGAGTTTCTTCGTCACATTGATGAATCGGATATACATAATGTATATATATATTTTTTGTTATTTTCTTTTGCAGTTCGAGTCGGGTATTCCCAGCAGAGATTGGCTGAGTTTTATAATTTGGTTTGGTTTTTGAGTATGTGCTTGTTTCTTGATAGGAAAAAACTTTGAAATAAGTCCAAGAATTGTTTAATTGATAACTCTGTTATGTAGGCCCTTCAAATTTCGCCGATATACCATAATAATTGACAATGAAATAGCTATAAAAAATGATTCAACATAATTTAACATTTAAGCTAAATAGTTACGAACGATGCGCCAAAATGCAAACTGCGAGAAAAGCAAGAAAAACTGAGAGAAAAAAAAAATAAGAAATCATTAAGAAATATACTTAGAAGATGAAGAAACCGTTTTACACATCGTAGTTGCTAAAGTCAGTTGATGAATATAATAGTTATGGTTATTTGGTTTACAATTTCGACTGGTATCATAGTTAAGCTAAGTAACTGATGGTTTTTCTAAAAGTGTTGTATACAATTACAAAAGTATCATTTTGTTTTTTCCACCACCCCCCCCAAAAACAATTGATTTCGGTTCACTGTACTCTCTTATTAGCCTTTTAAGACTAACTGAAATGATTTGAAATAAGGAAATTAACAGAAATCTAAGCTAAATTCCTAAGACAAAACGATTCCACCTAAGACACCTTTTGTAATGACTAAATTTATAGAGGCAAGGCAAACCAAACAAAATGAAAAAAAAAAACAAAAAAACAAAAAGAAACAATAAGATTATGACAGAGATGATGTAACAGATGTAGACTTAAAGCACACGGTTATCCAGGGGCTGTTCAAGAAGAAGAACTGAGGAACTGTGTGTGCATGCTTTGTACTTGTTTTTGTAACTAACAATATTTAAAAACATTATGTTTGAGAATAAACAAAAAACATAGAGAACAATTTAAGATAAAAAGTAAAATTTAACAAATAGCATTGAATAAGATATGATCATGATGATGATGATGATGGAAGAAGTCGATTAATGTTTGTTAAACGCCAGCAAATTGTTTATAGATTGTCATTTGGTGATTTTTGTTTTTGATTTCGTACTTTGGCTTCGGTTCGTTCTTAAGCATAAATTCTAAACACGAGGTATGTATGTGTATCTAACATATATGGTAATTTTAAAACGTAATGCGCTAAACACAAATAAACCAAGCAAACCAAGAGAGATAGTAAACAAACTAATTTGTATGTAGTTTAATAATAATAGACGGAAAGAAAAAATAAATAAAACCAACAAAAAAAACAGAAAAACTATGCAAAATAACCAAAATAAAACCAAAATTGAGACTGTTAACATGCAACAAATGAAGGCGAACGAGAATATAAGATGAAAAGTAAAGCTTAAAAACTATAAACTCTTAACTCGTAATACCAAACCTAAAAATAAAATAATATAAAAACAAAGAACATATATAAGAAATCTCAGATGAATAGGCTACCTACATAAGTTCGTGTAAGGATTACGTTGAAGCAAACAACAACAACAACAACAACAAATGTTTTCAATAATTTTTCAAATTATTTCCTTTTCTTTGCAATTGTTTTGTTGTCATTAGAAGTCGATATATATATATAATATGTATATATGTATATATCTTCAATCTCGTATACAGATGCATTTCTTGTTTTTCGTCGAATTTCGTACAATTTCGAGTTCTTTTTGAAGAGCTTTTCGTTCACTTTGCATGGTTAGAAACACACACACACACACACACACTTATATACACATAATTTTTGTTAACTATGTATGTATAGTGGAACGGCTAAGGCACGACTAAAGTTATTTAGGTACTAAAATACATATATAGTTGTTTTATTTGTCACATCTAAGCATTAATTATGGCAAACGTAAGCAGGCTAAGTGATTACTTTAAGCCGTAACTGTAACTGTAAACTAGAACAGTTAGTTTGTATGACACACACACAAACACACACACACACACACAACTAATACGGACATACATATAGTTACATATAGCATGTACTTATAAGCCAGATGTAACGGTTTTTAGACGTTAAGTGTTGCCACTTGTGTGAAAAAATGTTTGGACACTCGGGTTAGCTGCGGGCAATAATATGTATTTAGTTTACTTAAAGATTTTACGTATCACACACACACACACTCACACACATACATATATAGAGCTATACATACATATAATATGAAATGTTTTTTGGGTTTCTTTTTCTAGACTTTTCTACTTGTACTTTTTAGAGATTAACATTAGAACCGCACCTGGTACAGCGTTAAATGCATTGATTATGTAATGAGACAGACAAGTTACATACATACATAGATACATACATAAACAAAAAGAAGAAGAAAAATGAAGAAAATACAAAAAACAAAAAAAAAAGAAGAAACGAAACGTAAAAAGAAATGAAATACATACATACATATAGAGAGAAAGAGAGAGAGAGAGATAGAGAGAGAGTTGCAAGGTTTTAGTTTACGGTAAACTTAATGAAATTTTTTACAATGTATTTATACATACCTAAATTTAAATTTTTAATTAATTTTTTAATGTAATACGAACACAGTGCCTAAGTAATATCAAAAACAAAAATACAAACGAGTATAAGCGATGCAAGTAAGTGAACAAAATATCTGTCAAGGACATTGTTACTAAAAAATTACACAAAACGATTAAACAATTTATGAATAGAACAACCAAATAAAAAGTACATTATAAAAACATTTGGAAGGTGACAAAATTCAAACAATTCAAGTAACTACATAACTAAGGACATACATAAACATAAACAATTAACACAATTAAATGTACATGTACGAAAAAAACAAAATAAAACAAAATAAAAGAAAAAAAAAACAAATCCAAACCGAATTGCATAATTGTATAAATGAAACTGACATACTTACAATATTCAGACCGCTAAGAACGCTAACTAAGCTAAAATACCGTACTAATTAAATATAGCAACGTACCCCCTACATACGTCTCTCTTTCATATAACTAATACATATATATCTGTCTGTGTATATGTATATGTATCGAATAGAAAACGATAAACGAAAAACGAAAAAAAAAACACATCCAATCCGATCTTGAACTTTTACTTCTTGCAAAACCCCAATTCTCGACGGATGTATCGTTTGATTTGTTGTCCAAATACCACACATATATATATATATATATATATATATAGTATATATATATAGAAAATAAAGCTCTAGGCATGCCACGTACTCAAAATGACATCAATTGCAATTTGAATATTATTTACGATACGAAAAACAAGAATTGGTTTGCATATTGAATTGGCTTTTAGCATTATAAAAAACAAAAAAAAAAACAAAAAACGGCAAGAAAATGATGTTAATAAATGAAAAGCAACAAGAACAAGTATATCGAATAATACTACTTTTGTTTTGTTAGTTTTGTCTGGAAATTCAAGTTCAAATTTTAATTGTTTACTCATTTTAAGCAAGTACTTAAATACACGAAATGAATTACAAATTTCTTATTATGTTTAAAATTAATGTAGTTTGTAAAAAAAGTTTTAAGCAAAAACCAAAATACTTTGAATATATACATAAATTGCAAGTAAATAGAATAAATGTCACTCACTCTTTTTATTTAACCTGCCTTAATAATTATTTATTGAAAATTGCAGACGCAGTTCTCTCAGTGAAAATACGAATTTTCCAGAAATTGGAATTGGAATTGCAATGAATTAAGTCTAAATCACAATTTTTATGATAAAAGCAAATTTTCGAATAATCATATTCGAATTCTCCATAAAAGTTATAGTAGGGATTATAAGAAATTCGAATAACCTCTAGAACCGAAATGTTCCAAGTTGGGAACTGCCAAAAAAGAGTATAATTTCCGAGTTTGGGGGTTTATATTATCCACATAAATTAGGGGTACCCAAAAAGTAATATTTGTAAAAGGTATCTTTGATCCTATGACAAATAGTATATAGTAGTCGAAATTAGTTATAGATCGAGTAGGTCCAAAAATACAGAATTACAAAATTGAAAATATTTGTAGAAAATCGTAAGAAAATGTTGGAGGCCATTTTGTTTTTTCTGTGCAGTACAATATTATATTTCATCGCCCGTGTAGAAGAGCCGCCCACAGGCGGAGGTTTTCTTTTGGGCCGACATATAGTTCTATATTCGGTAGCCGCCGGTTTCGTCTTTCTGCATGTAAGTGTTTGCATATTTCAATATCCTGCAATTATTCCAATCTGTCGACAACTTAGCGCTGAACCTGTAAAAAGCGAAGGGCAAACTTTTTTTTTTTTGAAAAAGATGTACATGTTTATTGAAAAATTTGAAATCAAGTTAAATTAATTAAAGAACATTGCAAGTGAAATGAACAAAAAAAATTATGATGATATGAAGCTCAAGTTCCAATGCAGTTGGTATAAAAAATGCGCAGACAAACAACCTGTGGGAACCAAGGCGCGGACCATGCGAGTGTAACTAACTAGGATGAACCTTAAAATTCGATAACTACTTGGCTTGGCGCCGTCTTGTGGTTGGTGTGGTAGGTGTGCCGGTTGGCGGTTTTATCTAAATGGTACAGAAATAAATAAAAAAGACAGCATATTAGGAATAAGTGATGCATATCGTATGTCGCCAACTTGCCGAACGTATGGGCTTGGGTGTGAGCGAATTTGCCGGCGGCGGATCGCGTGGATGCGGTCCGTCCGGATGGCCAACGACGGTGACGGCAACGGGTCTCTGCTCGGAGCTTGCCCGCTCGGTGCTCTCACTGCGCGAGTTCGAGCCGGATCGCTTGAACATGCCCGACAGCCGACCACGCAGATCCTTCTTGCTGGATCTCATGTCGCTAGCTACGCTTATGTCCGAATCGGATCCTTGAATCTACAATAGAGTATGTTTGGTTTTTAGTTTTGCGAACAAGCGATTCGATTCTTTCGCGCTACCCACCGATATTTCACTCTCGGAATTGCGACTGCTTTTGGTCAGACTGCGTAGCTTGCCCATGATACCCTTCTTCTTTTTGCGTGGTCCGCGTGGTATGTCGCTTTGGGTGGAGCCGCCGGACAGGCGCGAGTCGAGACGCGAATCTAAGCTGGAGTCGCGCACCAGTCCGCCCAGCTCCGAGTCAATGGACTGCATGGATGATACGCTGCCATCGTCCTGACGCCAAATATTCTGAAACTCGTGGGTTAAATGGAGTTCCATATAATTTTGGATCACAGCTTACCTGGTCGCGTTGTATGGAGTGATCCAGCGATAGACTCTTGCGTATCAGGCTGCCATTGTTGGCCGAATTGCGGGACAAACGTCCGCCGCCGCCGGCGCGCTGAGACCCGGCCGCACTGGCGACAGAGCTGGTGCTGCCGTGCGGATCGTTCTCCTGGGAGGCGGCGCGACGTAGATTGCCGCGACGTATGCGACTGCGCTCCGCTTCATCCTCATTTAGGCGCTGGAACTTACGCAGCTCCTCGGAGGCCTCCGCCAAACGAGCCAGCACATTGGTGATCTGGGCACTGCTCAGCGTTGGCGACGGACTGCGACTGCGACGCACGTTCGCCTGCTCCGGACGCAGTTTATTGTCGGCATAGGACGAACTGCGTCCGGATGAGCCACCAACTATTTTCAAATCTGGCGCGATTTTCACCAGCTCATCGACAGTCTGCAGCAGTGCACCCACTTTGCGCTCACCACCATCCTGCTCCATACGCCGCTTAATAAGCTCCTTCTCATAGCGTTCGCGCTGAAAAGATTATCAGCAAGGATTAGAGGCTATAGAATAATTCTTACTTTGATAGGATCATTGGATAGAATACTCTTGACCAACCTACACAAATCCGCAGTCAAGTGGAACCTTCTAAGTACTATGGATAAAAGTTAACTATCTGCGTCCTGACTAATTGGAAAACTTTTCCCGGAAGTCGAATGCCAACTTCCCGTTTAGTTTGACTATGCGGGGTCGTGAGCCTTGGACTCATAAAAGTTTGTTGATCTTACGATAGGTGCAACTATTTTGATCTATATAAAGAAGGCTTAACTTTCTTCAGGATACGCTCTGAAGGGCGACATGTCAAAACATGCAAAACATGTCAATACTTCGAATCATTTCTCATCTATGAATCATCAGTCCAAACTGCTGACGACTTTTTCTATTAAGGATCATGCTCACCTCCCTGCGTAATTTCTCGTTGGAGGTGCGCAGCTTGGCATGCACGTCTCGCAGCTCCAGGAGATCGCATTGAAGTTCGGCTATCTTTTTGCGGCCCTCCTCCATTTCCTCTTCAGTCGCACGCTTAGTTTGATCTAGTTTGCGCTTGGACTCGAGTCGCTCCTTGTCACGTTCACGTTCCACCTCGAAGAGGGTTTGGCGCAAATCACGCGCCAATGTGGATGTCTCCTGCAGCAGGCGTTGCTGATCCTCGCGCTCCTTTTGCCAGGACAGCTCCAGCTTGGTCTTCATGCCGGGCAGCTTTGTGCTGCCCGAGCCAATGACACGCTCCTCCTCGAACTCATTCAGCTTCGACTGCATCTCTGATATCTTGATTTCATTGGCACTGCGCTCGGAGACAAGCTCCGTCTTGACCTTGCTGGACTCCAGCCGCGACTCGACCAGCTGATCTTCCAGATGCCCAATCTGCCAGAGATATTGGGTAAGTTCTTTAACTTTAACTAACTGCAATCAGTTCAATTTACCTGTTGTTCCAGGTAGGCAATTTTGCTCTTGTCATCGTCATCGCTGCTGTGCATCGAGCTGCGACTCTGGCGGCCCGTATTGTTGGCCTTAAGATCGCCAATCTTCTTCTGCGCCAGCTCGAGCATCTGCTTGAAGGCATCTCTGTCTTTCTTGAAGCGCTCACATTGGCGCTGCAATCATATCAACATACAACTAGCTGATCTCTATATCGATTACCTCAGAGCTTACCTGCATGGAGGTGAGTTCGCCGCTGAGATTCTTCACCTGCTGCTCATAGCGCAAGCGCGTGGAGGCCACCTCGGACTTGAGCTGCAGCTCAGAGGCTTGTAATCTGCAAGGAACAGTACAGATGAGTTACAGGTATGTAAAAATATTCAAAAATGAATCATCATCGATCTGAGTAGCTATATCTATTGGATCGGGAAGGGGTTAAACATTTAAGATATCGTATAACCCAAAATTATGTTCATCATTATATATTATATTGTCCCAATCCCCCCAATTAAGTCTAGCCAAAGACAATATAAACACTCAGATGAGTAACGCCATATAACAAAATGCTTCTAAAAATAGAATGTACTCTCAGCTTCGGCTCAATGGGAGCCGAAGGAATCGACGCAGCGCACCATCGACCAGCTTTGCTGAAGGCAGGCAGACTTCGCAAGCCGCGACTTCGACATTCGTTCGTCTAGCTTTTGGAGAGCGAACAGCCAGTCGGCTGGGAAAAGCCAGATGAGAAGCCAGGCTAGAAATTTTGCGTCGCATTCAAATGTATGGTATAGTGTTTAAATTGTCTTTGGTCTACCCCAACCTCACGTTGCGACTTACTGTTCCTTGAGTTCCTTGATCTCCGCCTCGCGTCTGGCGCCATGTCCGTTAAGAGAGGATTGTGCCTGCTCGATGCGATTGAAGTCGCTCAGTTTGCTGTTCAGATCATCGTTGTCCTTGCGCAGCTGGAACACCAAATCGATGTTCATTTCGTTCTCGCGACGCAGACGCTCGTACTCGTGCTCCTTCTCGGCCAGCTTGTTCTTCAGCATGGAGCGCTCGTGATCGCTGCTGCCGCCGGTCTTCAGGGTCTTCAGCTCCAGCTCCTTGATCTTCTTCTGGGCTTCGTTAAGCTTGCGCGCCATGTCCGTGCGCTCAATGCGTATGGTGTCCATGTCGGCCAGCTTGTATTTGCTGGCATTCAGTTCGGCCTGCAGGGTTTGCTTCTCCGTTGTGAGCTGGGCGCGCATCAGTATGGTTTCCTCGGAGAGCTTCTCCCAGTGTGTGTTCAGCTCCTCGTAGCGCTTTTGTTCGCCGCTGAGCGTGGCTTGGGCCTCCTCCAGCTGCTTCTTTAGCTCCTGCACCTGTTTGCTGTCCGATTTGCTGGCCTTTGCTTTGAGGTCCTTGATGTCCTTCTCAAGCGATGTCTTCGTTTTCTCTGCCGCCTTCTTGGCACTAAGCAGCTCGTTGTCCAATTGGCTCAGCTTGGCTTCGAGCTTTTCACGTTCTTTGGCCTGCTTCTCCAGGTCCTTCTCCAAGCTGGACAATTTCTCCTTTTCGCGCTTGTTTTGCGTCTCCAGCGTGGATTTGCTAGCTTCAGTCTGCTTCAGCTGGCTCTCCTGTTTCTTTAGCTTATCCTCCAAGTCCTTGAGTTTTGTGCTGAGCTTCTTGGCCTCCTCCTCGCTGCTCTTGAGCTTCTGCTCCAGCTCCTTGGCCTTGCTGCTGCTGCCATTCAACAGCTTCAAGCGTTGCACATCGCCCTCGGCCAACGCCAGCTTTTGCTTGCACTTCTGCAGCTCCTCCTCCAGAGATTCCTTGCTCGTTTGCAGCGTTTTCAGCTGGCCGACACCGCTGCTGCCCAGCTGCACGCGCATTTCAGTGATCTCATCCTCCAGCTCCTCCACCCACTTCTTCAGATGACTTTTGGGCGTCAGATCGTTGACACGCTTGGGCGTTCGAGCGGGCAACTTGCCCTCGGCCTCGACTTGCATGCGCTTCACCCGGGCTGTCAGTTCGTCACGTTCCTTTTGAACCTGGGCCAGTGCCTCCTTGATCTTTGGCAGATCTGCTTCGGTGTTCTTGTCCGTGGAGCTAGTCTTGCGCAGCGTCTGTAGGCGCTTGTTCTCCTTGGTCAGCTTCTCGTTCTCGGTCTCCAGTGTGGTCAGCCTGGCCAGCTGAGCGCGCATATTCTCCGCACTCTGCTCCTTCTCCTGCAGGCTCTTGCGCAGCTGCGTCAGCTCATCGTTGAGCGTCTTCAGTTTCTTCTCTGCCGCGCTGGCGGAGCTCCCGAAACCGAGTAGCGAGCCCTTGCTGCCATTGCTGTTATCCTGACGCAGCTTGGCCTGCAATTCGCGCACATATTTCTTGGACTCGGCATTCTCCTTCTCCAGATCCTCGACCTTGAGACGCAATATGGACGCCTCCTGCTCGTTCAGCTCGAGTAGTATGCGCAGCTCCGCGGGATCATCCTCATCGGAGATACCTTCGTCACGGTCGGCCTGCACCTCGACCAGTCGATGCGGATGCGGCGCCGGGCTCAATTTGCGAGCTGCGTATAACAAAAGTGAGTTAGGAATTTATTCTAAAAAAAACCCATCGAAAGGGGATGTTACTTAAAAAGTTGGCATGCCAGGCTTCCAAGCGTTTAGTTACAATGTTTAATAGCTGGATTTGGGCGCAGTTAGTCTCATTTCATGAGCAGCCGCAAAAAATGGCAAATTACAATTGAATCATTCGTTAAAAAGCGCATGAGAAATATCGTTAGTTCGAAAGAGTATATGTTAAGTGGGATATATATCTATCACAAATCGATTTAATTGGAATATAACGAGTCTATTTACACTCTCTACACAATTTGAATCGATTTGTGCTTTGATTTGATTAATTTTTTACATTTTATTCTATCAATTAGTAAATGTTAACATTAGGTATAT